AACACGACGTAAGATGCGGACAAACATTAGTACGATGTGGTAGCAATAAACAGGAACACCATAGTGATACGAATATATATATATATATATATATAATATTATTATATACAACAAATTATTCTCTACTCAATTTTATTCAATAATTATTTATTGAGAGTTTAAAGTTAAATTTGAATAAATTTTATACTCGATATCATTTTTCTAATCTTTCATAATATGTTTTATAATGGAATCTGATGATTAAAAAAAAAAATACTAATAATTACAAAATTACAGTGCTTGTCTTCCAAAGGTGTCAAACATCACGTCAATGGGATCTAAATTTCAAATCACCATACGACTTCTTTCATGTCCTATGTATAAAAATAATATATTCTATTCCTTATTTGACAAAATAGAAATTTTCCCATGCATGGCTAGAAATTAATTCCGTTTCAATCAATCACAATTTGACATACAAATAAATAAATTTAATTTTATTTAAATTTTTTGATTATGTGCCTAATTTTGTTTGGAATCATATAATAATTTTTTAATTATATCACTCCTAAAAGTCTAAGAGAGTACTTTCTGGGAAGGTGTGAGTGGTCTGCATGCGTCCCAAACACCAAATAATTTATCCCAACTTACTAACTATTCATTTCTATATCTTTGTTCTTTGTTTTCTCCTTATTCTCTGTTCTTTGTCCTACGATCCTATCTTTGATTTTCTTTTCCAGTGGGTGGACTCCACACAAATAACTTTAACTTAGCGACTAAGCTAGGTTGTCGATCATGAATATTAATTTGCTTATATAAAGCAAAGAGCTCTCTTTCCTAGCTTCCATAGTGTTCCATAACAATCAAGAAAGAGAGGGGTGAGTTTGAAGATGGAAGATACAGCCAAAGCAGTTGGCATGGTGGCAGGGTTAGGTCTATTGGCATGGGGCATATCAAAACTAGTATTCTCATCATCTTCAACCTCCCAACAATCAAAACCCGACGAGAAATTTATGAAAGCTCCTGGCAAGGACACCATAATTCCCAGGAAAGACTTCGTGGCTAACCCTAAGGGCTACTTTCAAACGGCCCGAGAAGAAAAGAAACTACAAAAGAAATAAACCGACGTTGGCTACCAATGGCTAATCACTTTTTCCAGTGTTTCTGAAGCAAGCAACCAAGCATCCAATTAATGGTATTTCAAGTACTTAGTAGTGATCAATTAAGCTGCTGCTACTTTTGTTATATGTGTATGTGTGTGTATGATCGTAATGAACTCTATTATTATTATTAATCTTAATGAACTTTACTATATATGCTCTGCAAATTAAGCACTTCTCTGATGTATAGTTGCTGGATTAAAGATCATCTTCTCTCTCACATACATGCACACACAAACACAAACACAAAAAAAAAACAAAAAACAAAAAACAAAAAACGAGTCTGATAAGAGATATATATTGTGTTGAAAGGTCTCTTCCAAATTGGGTTATTAATGAAAAATCCAATGTTTCAATTGATTCAACTGGGAATTAAGAAAGCAAACATTAGTTTATGGGGGAAGAAAACAACAATCCAAGTGCCAAGTAGCTAAACTTATTCTCACTAAAATTTATAATTTATTTTTCTCCTGGCCTGTTTAACTTCGGAGTTGGCTTTTGTGGTCAGACCTTAGATTCAGAGTTTGAGCATTGGGAGAGAGATAGAAATGTATATATCATAAGGAAAAAAAAAAAAAAAAAAAAAGATTTTTGAGCCTATAGGTTATAGCTAAAATACTAGTGAAAAACTTATTTAAATAGAAACAAATTTATCACTTAAAATATATTTAAGAAAATAGAAAATTTTCAATTAATATTACATTTATCGGAGTTGTCTCAACTTTTAAATTCTAAGTTGAAAATGATTTTAAAACTGAAGAATTAGCGGTAATGGTCAACCCAAAATTTTGATTGGTCATTGCAAAATATAAAAAAGTGGAATCATCCACTTCTTTATTTAGTACAAACCTAATCAATCAAAATTGTCTTAAGCAATTCACTATACAACTTTGGTCTAAATATCACTGTTGATTCTAAATTATTATTCTATGAGTATTCTTTAGTTTTAAAATCATTCCTGGGCAATTAGACAATTAATACACCCCAATATTTTAATGCTTAGTGGTCATGTACGTGTTTCTATTATAATTATGCAACTAGGGATGTATTTGGACAGCCCAATCCAAACTCAACCCGAAATTGGGTTAGGTTGGGTTGGTCCCATATCAATTTAGAATTGGACTCTTATATAATTTGAACCTGAATAATTTTGGGCCGACTTGTTCAATTTTATTTTATTTATTTTTTCTTTTCAAATTTGTAAATTACTTCTCTGTTTTGAAAATGTAAAATTTTTTTTTTTGAGAAAATTTTAATTTTCAATTCAGTACTACTATTTCATTTTTTTTTCGATCTGATCAAACTGTTGGTATTCAATTATTAATTTTGATGTGCTTCCAACTGTAATTTTATTTTCATTAATACAACAAAAATAAAACTTGTCTTATTTTAAAAATAAAAATTCCGCTTGTTTGTTATTAAATAAACTTTTATTTCCAAATTATTCTAAAAACAAACCCTAAAACAACTTATACATATATTGATAAGAAAACCCTAACACAAGCCACCAAAAACCAAATCAAAAGATTTTTAACGAAAGGTAAGAGAGAGAGAGAGAGAGAGAGAGAGAGAGAGAAAAGTCCTACGAGTCATTTAACTTGCAGGTTTTTTTTTGTCAAGTAATGTATAAATATGTAAAGTAATTGCAATATATATATATATATATATATATATATATATATATATATATTTGGAAGGTGTAAAAAAGGTAACCCTAACACAAGGGCGATTCCTTGAAAATCGTTTTTCTCATTATTCTCTCCATTCAGGTTTTCTCTAGGTGCAATCTCACACACACACACATATATTCTACTTGGAAGGTGAATTTTTTTTTTTTTTTTTCTTCTGATTTCGGGTTGGGTTCGGGTTGAACCCGAGGTCAATCCGAATACAGCTGAGTTTTGAAATATTTGAACCCGATTTGTGAATTTAAAAGCCTAAGTACCAAAAATTTTGGATTGGATTCGGGTTGGGCCGAGTTGACCCGCCCAAATTGCAGCACTAGTTCCTAACTTCCTATACATTTTGCATTCCCACTGCACAAAAAATGAAGTTACCTAATTAAATTCCTCATCAGAAATTTATGACATCTTTTACACTAACCCATGAGAAAACAAACATCAAGGTGACTCTTAGGTTCTCTCATGAGAATTTGCTTATATAAAGCAAATCGCTCTCTTTCCTTGTATATATATATATATAGTTCCGCAATAATCAACACAGAGAGAGAGTTTAACAGCAGCATAATGGGCAATCAAGTATGCTGTGACAATTGCAACTCCATGACCAAAAGTGAAGAAGATCTTCAGTTGGAGAAGAAGAAGAAAGAGGAAGTGATAGAGATAGCCAAGGCAGTTGGCATAGTGGCAGGGTTAGGTCTACTGGCATGGGGAATTTCCGGGCTCATATCGTCGGCAAGTAGCAAGAAGAAAACCATGAAAGCTCCGGGCAGGGACTACTACATTTACAGGGATGATTTTGAGGATGATCCTGCTGCCTACTTTCGCAGCCTCCGTTACTAGAAATTTGAAAGACACCAACTTTATTTAGTAATTGTCATGTCTTTTGTTTTGTTTTTGAAGCAGTGGTTATAAACCAAGTAATGGTATCTTAGTTCATATATGTCTGATCGATTAAGCTGCAAGCCTGCAACTTACTTTTGATGTCTCTGCTTGTATTAATGTGGTATTTTGTGAGACCTAGTGGATCAATATTATTGTATGGTCTTGATTAATGAACTTTAATTATTATTATTATTATTATTAAATTTTTTGAAAATCATCACACACACACACACACACAAGAAAAATAGCTATTTAGAACCTGATTATGTCCTACAAGTTGAACAGGATTGGATCAAATCAGAGACGATTAACAGATCTCGTTGATAAGCTCTATGCAAAATTTTAATTATGTATTGAATTTTGTTGGGAATTATGTAATAATTTTTCAATCATATCACTCCTAAAAGTAGACTCTTAAGAGAGTACTTTTTGAAACGGTGTAGCATATCTTTGATTAGTCGGGATCACATGCTTCCCAAACACCCAATAGTTGGGATTTATCCCAACTCACTAGCTAACTTCTCATTTCTCTGTCTTTGTTCTTTGTTCTTTGTTCTTTGTCCTATGATCCGATCCTATCTTTGATTTTCTTTTCCATTGGGTGGACTCCACACAAATAACTTTAACTTGGTGACTAAGCTAGGTTGTCGATCATGAGTATTAATTTGCTTATATAAAGCAAATACCTCTCTTTCCTTCCATAGTTCCATAACAATCAAGAAAGAGAGGGCTGAGTTTGAAGATGGGAGATATAGCCAAAGCAGTTGGCATGGTGGCAGGGTTAGGTCTATTGGCATGGTGCATTTCCGGGTTCGTATTGTCGGCGAGCAGCAAGAAGAAAACCATGAAAGCTCCCGGCAGGGACTACTACATTTACAGGGATGATTTTGAGGATGATCTTGCTGCCTACTTTCGCAGCCTCCGTAATTATTAGGAAATTATGAAAGACACCAACTTCATTTAGTAATTGTCATTGTCTTTTGTTTTGTTTTTGAAGCAATGGTTATAAACCAAACAATTGACATCTTTTTCGTACTTGCTTCACTTTTCTATTTTTTATTTTTTCAAAAATCATTTTTTTAATGTCATTTTATTATCCACAATTTCCTAAAACAACTCGACGTTAAAATATGAGGCAAAGCAATAACAAGAATATTTTTGGTGAAACATCTTTAACAATCACTGGAGACATAGTGGTTCTTGACTTCCAAGTGAGTAGATAATGAATTCAACTGCTTAATTTTTTTCTGCAAAGATATATAAAACGAATTCAACAGAGAACAGAGAGACCAAGAGAAACATCAAGACAGATATTTGAATAATCAAACAATCTAAAAAATAATAATAACAATATAAATTATTTGGGGAAAGTTACTATCCCTTCTTGCCTCCACTGTCATACAATCAACTCAATAATCAGTATCAGTCAAAATTTCAGAATCTTGTTCAGCCACCAGACGTAACAATCTCTCGTGTTGCGGCCCCCATTACAGTATGTTACATATCCTCCAAATCCTGCAATGGCATCCTGTTCAAAATTGTAACATCATTTCACGTGATATCGATTTTATACTTCAAAACAAAATAATCAGCATAAGCACCTAAACACGAAACGGCCATAATTACAAAATCCAGGTAAACTCCACGGCGGATATCAGCTGGATTCTAGGGCTTCCGAAGTTACACTCATGTCCAAACACTAAGAGCCATTTTTGGAGTAGGAGAAGGAATATAGAGAGAAGGAATATAGAGAGAACTCTTCTACCATCCTCTAATGATTTTGCTTTCCTCCCAAAGGGAAAAGGAAAGTTAAACAAACTCGGTATCTTTTCTGGTTATTTTAAATGTTCACCTACAATAATTAAAAATTAGAATAAAAAAATGAAGCAAATTTAAGTCTCTTACCTAAATCAAAGGAAACTTGGAGGCAGTATGACATCCATTCAGAGCCAGCATCATCTCCTCCTCTTCTTGCCTTTGCCTTTTCCCAATTGCCCAGATTTGTACGCATGCTCTTGTTCCTGGAGGAAAGCTCTTGCTTTTCCATACTTCTCAGCTCTTTCTTCTTCTTGCCTTTTCTTATCCTTTTCTTTCACCTCGAATAAGAAATAATTATCTTTTCGTAGTTCACGAATTGCCCCTTTAGCTTCCCGTTTTACAAGTTTCTTCAACTTTTTCCTCTCAGCTCGTTCACGGTCTGGATCATAATCTCTACCCTTAACATAGCTGCATAATAAAAGATTTAATAGCGAAATTTAGCATTCAATTTAAGATGCTTGGTCTGATGCGAGAAAAGAACAGGCACGAGAAAAGAGTCGGGATTACTTCTCCTCAAACTTTGGATTTAATAGTTTGATAGGCACTGGCTTTTGTTTTCGAATATGTAGTGGTTGACGCAGCTTGTGAAGTTCAAGAGTTTTCTTCTCTATGAGCTGGGCAACTTCTCTAATTTTATCTTGTAATGCATCTGGCATGTGTTCTTGTTGAGCCAGTTCAAGTAATAATTTGGAAATTTGCAAGAATATTTCAGGAAATGAATTAAATCCTTCATAAACATTAACGAAGCCTCGTAGAGTTTCAATCACGGACACAAGCATGCTGGCCCTGCATATAGAAAGTACATAGTTCATAAAGTAGTAAACAATCCCAGACCAAAGACATTATTCACAGAAAACATGCCATAACAAGAAGCTCAAGAATATGTCGAGCAAATGAATTAAATCTTTCATGGTAGATAGTTAACAGATGCACACTTTGTCAGAGATAGAAGCACACAAACCCTGCATATCAAAAGCTTGGAATTCATTAAAAAACAATCCGAAAGCACAAAATTCACAGTGAATACAAAATACAATAAATTTATCATATTTGAGATGGGACTTTAACCTTTAGTCAAAAAGACCTGCCATAAATGATTCATCAGTAACCAATATTAAAGAAGCTAGAATGTACTACCTGAAATTGTCAGAGCTGAAAAAGGGAGTGTCTTCTGGCATGTCCATTAATTTGAGGAAATCTAGAGGACTAATCTCGTTTACACGGCCTTGTAGACAAAGCAGAGGACTCGGTGCTTTAAGTTCCATGAGTTGGAAGAACTGCCACATAGTAAACATATAATTAGATTATTTTCTTCAGTCAACCAAATAAAGTGTACCTCAACAAGTAAAGATTGAAGAACATAGTTATTAAAGGCACGCCAAGGCTCCAAAAAAGGAAAGCATTCATTAAAGTTATTGTTTACATTTACTTGGCACATTGCATGCACAAGGAAATCATTCCTTATTGTTTTGAATCATTTAATCATATCTTTTACTTTGCGTTTCCTTTTTTTAAAAAATAAATATTTTTTTATTTTTTATTATTTTTTATTTTATAAGTAAGAATTTTATAAAAAAAGGCTCAAAGGGGAGCGAAACCCAAGGAAACAAGAAGAAAAAACCACAAAGAGCCTCAAGCCTTCAAAGAGGTCAAAAACATAACAATCTCCTCAACAGAACGATAATCTCTCCCTGAGACCCAACAAAAGAGAGTAGAAATAATAGAAAATTTAAGCATAGAAATAGGTTTCTCCTTGCCATCGAAGTATCTTCGATTCCTCTCGAGCCAAATGCACCACCAAACACAGAGAGGGGTAGCCCTTCAAGCATCCCAGATGAGAGCCCCAACAGAGACACCTCTCCGAGCCTCAATCAACCCTCTAGAGGAACAGGGCATAACCCAGGGAACCCCAAACAACCCAATCATCAAATCCCAACAAACTCTGGCCATACTGCAGTGCAACAGAAGGTGATCCACTGTCTCCTCATCGCAACGACACAAGTAACAGCGATTGATAACCACCTGCATTCTCCTCCTCAAATTATCCTGGGTTAAAATCTTACCCAAGACAGACGTTCAAGCAAAAAAGGCCACCTTAAAGGCAGCCTTGGAACGCCAAATAGCCTTCCAAGGGAAAGTGCCACCCTCCCCATCAGAAAGGCACCTGAAAAAGGATCTCACCTCGAAACGACCCTGAGAGTGTGGACTCCAAAGCCAACAATCAGCCTCCTCATGAGAGATCACCTGACGATACAGTAACTCCAAAAAACGAGTGACCTCCTCAATTTCCCAATCCTGAAAATGCCTCCTAAACTAAACGTCCCAAGTTAGTCTTCTATTATCAAGGTGATAACAGTCAACCACCAAGGCCTGCCTGTCAGAAACAATCCTGTAAAGCCGAGGGAAAGAAAGAGCAAGGGGAAGATCCCCACACCAAAGGTCCTCCCAAAATTTGATCCTCCTACCATCCCTGATCCTAAAGCGAACATGATTACGAAAAACGTCCCGTCCCTTTCGAATGCAAGTCCAAACCCCCCACACCCCTAGGACCACGCCCCTCAAGAGAACACCACCCACCACTGATTTCCCCAAACTTGCTGGCAATAACTTTCCTCCAAAGCCAAAGTCTCTCAACCCCAAATCTCCAAAGCCATTTCCCAAGAAGAGCCTTATTGAAAGGCAACAACCTTCGAATCCCTAATCCTCCATTCCGAAGGGGACGACACACTTGCTCCCATCGAACCAGATGATATTTGAACTCCTTTCCTTTCCCTCCCCAAAGAAAATTCCGCTGCAAACTCTCAATTCTCTCCGCCACCGAAGAAGGAATCTGAAAAGGGGAGATAAAATAGGTGGGAAGGCAAGAGAGAGTGCTCTTGATCAGAGTGACCCGCCCCCCTTTGGAAAGGTACTGCTTCTTCCAACCTGCAGCCTCTTCTCAAATCTATCCACCACTGGATCCCAAGTCCCCACACATCTCGAAGGAGCACCCCGAGGCAAACCTAAATAAGAAATAGGAAACGAGCCAGTGCCACATCTGAGGATCTGAGCAAACATCTCAATATCAGGAACATCCTCGACCGGCACTAAAACACTCTTTCCAACATTCACTTTAAGCCCAGAGACGACTTGGAACCAAATCAAAACACATCTCAAATGTCTCAGCTGGGACGCATCAGCATCACAAAGAACTAAGGTATCATCAGCAAACATCAAGTGAGAAATCTCTAATTGACTAGCGACATCTCTACCCACCTGAAAGCCTCTCAACAATCCCGGATCAACAGCCTTTTTCAACCTACTAAGAGCCTCCATCACAAAAAGAAAAAGGAAAGGAGAAAGCGGATCTCCCTGTCTCAAGCCCCTCGTTCTTGGAAGTTGCAAGATTGCCTCGACTGTTTCAAGGTGGTGTTGCGAGATCTGCAAATTCGTATAGGGGACCATCGATTTATTTGGATGATGACTCGGTTGATAGGAGAAAAGAGGACGTTAGGTCGTGTTTGGTGGGCTTTTTTGATAAGGAAGTAGACGATGGAGCACAGATTGCAGCGTGGGCTTCGAGAGCTTGGAAGATCTCCACTGGTGTGTCGGTCTCGCCGTTGCCTGACTCGCTTCTTTTGTTTCGATTTCCCTCAGCAATCGAAGCATCTCGAGTTCTTAAAGAAGGTCGACGTGACTGGGGGAAGGCAACTCTTCGTGTGGATGCTTGGAATTTCAGGGTCGGGTGTTCGGAGATCTTGAAAGAGAAGGGGTTGAAGAAGGTGACGATTTTTGGCCTTCCACTTCACCTGTGGAGTCATGCTTTGTTTGTGACAGTTAGCGATTTATGTGGTGGGTTTATCTGGGTGGAGGCCGATGAGGCCATTGATGCTGAAAGAGTTCGTATTACAGTCGCTGATGGAAAGGTTTGTCCACCTTTTGTGTTCGTTCATGACGATTGGTACTGTTACAAGGTGGCAGTTTGGGAGGAGAAGCACCCCGAGCTTGTTCCGACGACGGATTGCTTGGAAGGAGGTGATGGTTCACATCTGCTTTAGGAAAAAGAATGGTCGAGGTGGGAATCTATGGGGAAAAAGGGAATGGCAAAGTTCCAGATACGGAAGAATTGGAGAGATGCGTTGTGGATTCGTAATAAGGAATGTTTCCGGAGGCTTTTTGTTCAGAAACATAGGGATGGGCTCTCGTCTGGTTTGAATCAGTGTCAGCCGGTTGATTTCCGGAAGATGCAGTGGAATGGAGGATCCACCGGGATTAGTCGTTGGCCATTTTCGCAGCGGTGGGATCAAAAAGGGTCTCGTCGTGGTGGTGTTCACGCGCAACAAGTGCGTGGGAGTGGGAAGGGGAGAATTGCTGACCAACCACGTGGTTAGCTCCCAAGAGTTGCCCGTTCACAGTGGAATACAGTTGTTTCCACAAATTTTTCAAATTCTGCTAAGTGGGCTAGTAAGAATACAAAGCCCATACGCGATGACGGGCCTGATGTTGGGCTGGGGATTGGGGCTTTAGTTGTTAGTGAGGGCTGTACTTCTTCTAGTGGGCCTGTTCAGAGGCATCCAATTATTAGCAAGCCCGTTTGTGATTTGAGGTTGGATGGTGGACCGGTTACCCAGTCTTTTATAGATGGGTTGGTTGGCAGGTCAGGTGCCCATTCACTTGATGGTTCAGCTGGGTTGAATACTGGGCAGGTTGGTGGGTCTTCTTGTTATGGGCGTGAGTTGAAGAATTATTTTGAGCCATTGACTTCCGCTTCGGTTGGTAGTGACTCGCAACTTTCTGGAAGAGTTAAGGAGGATCGGCGTTCTAGGGATCGGGTGCAGCGAATTTGTCTTCCTAAGAAAAAGATACGTCTTCCTGCTCTTCGCAAGCGTTGGACACGAAAGGATAAGCAGAAATGGGTAGCGTCTGTGCAGTCGGATCCGGGTAAGTCCACTGTTGTTTCTAAGGCACCTCCTTCTTGTTTCTTCTCTCCCTCTGCTCCTTCTCCTTCTCCTTCTCAAGGGGGGTCGAGTTTTTCCTCTGATTTGAAGGATAGTTTGGAGAATGGGCGAAAGGATGGTGTTGGGGTTTGCCAGGTTGATGGATTGGGTACATCTCGGTCTGTGATTCAGAAGAATGAGAGTGTCACAGTTTGTGTGGGATGTGATTTGAAAATTTGTTTGGATGATGCTTCAGTGACTGTGTTGCTAAGTGAGTTGCGGACTCATTTAGCTTTAAAGGGTTTTCAGTGTGGGACGAGTGGGTTTTTGGCTGCTGAGGTTAATGGGACTCTATTGGATGCTCATTCTCCTTCCTCGTCAGTCTTTGAGGAAGGGGATGGTGGGTTATGCTCTTTTTTTGAGGATTTGGGGTTAGGTCAGTGGAATGGCAATGAGACGAATTTTGATTTCTTTGCTCCTTTGGCGGTTGTTCATCCGGATGAGGTCTTTGTGGATGGGGCTGGTTCTGATTCAAGAAGGGTTGTTTTGGAGGACAATTGGGTGAGGGAGAAAGGAATTGAAATTAGCTCTTTGTTGGGAGTTTCTTTTGAAGGACGAATGGAGGAGGCGACGAATATGTTTTTGGAGGTTCTGTCTTCTCAGAATTTGGATAGAATGGGTGGTAGGGAGAGTAGGGGGAGCATGTCGGGGGAGTTGGAGTCAGAGGAGAGGGGAGTGTTGAGCCCAACGGCTCTTGTCACTTACGAAAGAAGGAACAAGGGGTCTAAGGAAAAGGGTGGTGGAGGGAGGGATGTGTCTATCCAATCTGTTGTTTCCTTATGAAGCTACAAATCCTTTCTTGGAATGTAAAGGGTCTCAATGATCCGGTTAGAAGAAAAGTGGTGAAGGCGGTGATTCGTAAAAGGGGTGGGCATGTTGTGTGTTTGCAAGAAACAAAGATTGAGACGATGACGGATTTGTTGGTGCGTAGTTTATGGGGAGGTAAATTTGTGGAGTGGTTTGCTCTGGATGCTATTGGATCTGCGGGTGGTGTTCTTGTGATGTGGGATAATCGGTGGGTCTCTATAATGGATTCTCAGGTTGGGCGTTTCTCTGCTTTTTGCATTTTCTCTGTGTTGGAGGATGATTTTCGTTGGGTTTTTTCTGGTATTTATGGCCCTACTGAGCATTGTGTGCGTCATTTGCTTTGGGCGGAGCTGGGAGAGGTTCATAGGAGATGGTCTTTGCCTTGGTGTATTGGTGGGGATTTCAATGTTGTTTGTTCCCCGTTTGAGAGATCGTCAGGTGGTAGGTGGACGGTCGAGATGGAGGCTTTCTTGGAATTTATTGATGTTTTTGGTTTGATTGATCTGCCTTTGGTGGGTGGGCCCTTCACTTGGTCGAGTGGTCGTTCTCCCCCTACCTTCTCTAGACTTGACAGATTCCTTGTGTCGAGTGATTGGGAGGAGCACTTTTCGGATGTTATCCAGACCACTTTAGCTCGTCCTTTGTCTGACCATGTTCCTTTGATGTTGGACTGTGGTGGGTTGCGCAGTAGAAGATCCCCTTTCAGGTTTGAGAATATGTGGCTTCGGGCTGAAGGTTTTTTAGATCGTGTCCTATCTTGGTGGGTGGGGTATGTTGTTGCTGGCACCCCTAGTCATTCCTTTGCAGGTAAGCTGCGGTTTTTGAAAAATGACCTCAAAGTCTAGAACAAAGAGGTTTTCGGTAATCTTGCATGGAGGAAGAATCGGGTTTTTTCTGAGATTGCAGACATTGATAGATTGGAGGGTCAAGGATCTTTGTCAGACATTGATTTTACATGGCTCTTAATCTGTTAAACGGGTCAACCTTGGTTTGCAATGAGAATGTATTACATTGTTTCAAGTTTCAACTAGATACATTGTAAAGTAGAACATAAGCAGGTCATAAGTGGATTTAATTAACGTGACACAAGATGAACCTGGCCACCTGCCAGCCTCAGTCTTGTGTGAAAAATTATGTTGTTTAATCATGTCATATTTAGTATTAAAAATTAATGGACATATCATCGACTACTTGTTAACATGTATCCAGTGTATTCTCTTAGCCTTCCTTAAGCTGTGTTGCATGCTTAGATCTATGAGACCTTGATATGCCTTGGGGTAAAATGCAAAAAAAGAAAACCCTGAACTATTGGCCAATTAGTAACAAAACCCCCCTGAACTACGAAAGTTACACCAAAAAAAAAAAAAAAAAAACCCCTTAAATATACATTTTTGTTGCAGATAGCCTCATCCGGCGATGTGCCAACTGAATCTCACTGGTAAAATGATCACATACGGTCACGTGACAAAAAGTATATAATTTAGTGACCCTTATGCCTTTCTGAGCATGAAAAGACTATAGTACCCCATATTGTTACCATTACACCCAAGCACCTCTTTAACCCACTGTTACACCCAAACACACCTTATGCCGTTCTGTCTATATACGCGCGCGCGTGTGTGTATCACTGTTCATCTTCTTCGCAATGCTTTCTGATTAAAGGGAAAAAAAAAATCTTGCTGACCTATTATGTAATATGTATATCCTTTTTGTTTTCCTGGTGATGAGCCACAACAGACCCATTACCAACACAGTCATACAATAATCCCACAACCAACCCATCACCAACACAGTCATACAATAAGCATCCAATACAATAATTCTGGTGATAAATGTTGTAACCTCCATAGCAGAACTCGTGTACCATCCTCCCCCAGTCTCTCTCTTCCCTCCTCTTCCATCAATCCCCTCACTACTCTCTGCCGACACCCTCACACTACTCGTCCAAATACTAACTCCGCCGACGACACACCCCCTTTTCTTCTTCTTCTTCTTCTTTTTTTTTTTTTTTTTTTTTTTTTTTTTGCAACGGTAGAATTTGATGGTTCAGATTGAGATCCAATAGCTTATTTTGGTGGGCCCAAATCGAGAGGAGTGTGTTCTTCGCATGGTCTGGTTTGATTTTTAGGACGGACAAGAATTACGGTCAAGATATGGCGTGAATGGGGGTGGTTGCCAGCCGTTAGTTGATGCAATCAGAAGATAAACTTTACCAATTGATTACGTTGCTTTGCTGGCGAATTCTTATTGGTTGTGAAGATTTCACCTTGCCACATCATTTAATTAGATCAAAGACCACATAAACCGTCTCCCATAAATAAGGGTATATGTGTCATTTGATTTATTAGCTTAAACACTCTCAAAACTACATCGTTTTAGTAAGGGTAAATATGTCTTTTTGTTTTTCCGGCCAAGTGAGTTGCCGGATTATCCTTAAATGCAACAAATCAATAGTTCAGGGTTTTTTTTTTTTTTTTTTTTTTTTTTTTTTTTTGTAGTTCAGGAGGGTTTGTTGCAACATGCCAATAGTTCAGGGGGTTTATTGCATTTTATCCTATGCCTTATTAATTGTGCCTTGAGCCTCTAATAAATATATGCCAACAATATTCGAAGTTGATAGGTTATTCAAGAAAGATAACAATGTATGAAAAACACTAGGCAGCTCTTAGAATTCAAATAATGCTGGAAAACTTGGAGACAAACAAGGCATACCTGAGAATCCTTACATAGTCCAGATTTTCTGTCTATAGCTGCCATCAGCAAAGTTTGAAGGAATGTTAAGGCCTCAGGACACAACTTTGTTGATTGTTTAGTGACCTGCACTCCAGTTGATAACCAGTAAAACTTAACTTAGAACAAAGGCCAAGATTTAATTATCACAGAAATAGTAAATCAAATGTATGAAGTTAGGCATCCTTAGTACAATATTATGCCTTGCAACAACCGTGGTATTGAAGTACCATAGAAACATAAATGTATAGCATACAAAATTTTCCACAATATTTTTATATCCTTGTCAGATATCATCAGTGAATAGGAAATAATTTCATCTTTTTGAGTTTCAGCCATTTTACAAGCATTTTTGCTTTCTACTTGCTTTACTGAATTTTAGGAAGCTCAACAAGAATGGAGTTCTCTAAAAAAGCCTGACCACCCTTACGGTTTGAGGAATTAGGAAAGAGGATTATTTCTTTGCCAAACCATTTAGATTTTACAAAACTAACAGAAGAATTAATTTTTAGATCTATTGAGCATTCTTCCTTCCCTTATAGTACCTAATTACAGAATTATATTCCAAGACATCAATGAAAAGTAATAAAAACACAATATAATCAAAGTCAAATGACAATAACAAACAGCAACAGACCAACTATAACACGCCAAGAATGCAATGGGTTTATAAATCAAATATATATTTTTATATGTGTGTGTATATATATATATATATATATATATATAACACTGGGATATTCAGTATCAAATTGGATACTGAATATCCAATTTGATCAACACTAGGATAAAGGGATTTAGTGCACTCACATTGAGGACCATAGAGCATAAGAAGGTACCCACTGCAATATCCCGACCAGACAGAATGGGACAACGTATCAGATATTCACACATCAACAGTAATGCAGGGGTCATGACAACATGACGAAAATCAGAGCAAGGAAATATCATGGACCACAGCCTTAAAAGAAACAGCGTCTTCAGAGAGGGCCAACAGGTCTTCTCTGCAAGAGGTGAAAAGTAAAAAATAAAAAAAGAAAAAGAAAAAGAAAAAGGTGGCCTGTGAATTGAAGGAAAAACTCAGCAAGACGACCTTCCAACAGTGAAGTTCGAAATCTTAAATCTCATTACAACAACCTGGATTCTTGACATCCTCACAGAACAATGTTCGAGTCTGAAGTAACCGTTGACGAGCACATATGGCTGCAAAATATGGGATCTCCGCACTCATTTCCACCAATGGCTTGACAAGAAAATTCAGTAGCTTGAAATTCAGTGGCTTTTTATTTGCCGAAACAGCAAAATACTGCAATAGTACACCATAGAATACCTGGAAAGATATGGACCTTTAAATTTAGCAATACAAGTATGTGCAAGAATGCTGACAGCATTAGTTCTACACTCAAATAAAACGATGTCAACTAAAAACAACTTGCATTAACATAAATTTAATGGCCAAAAAAGAAAAAAAAAAACATTTAAATGGTTATCTTAGTTAAGCAAAGCAATAGGAAGCCCTATTTGTGACTTCCATCTACATATGGGTTAGAATAGAACTAATATACATACTGAATTCCAACACCAGCATTCTGTATCATGTTAAAACCAAATCAACATATCATCTAAAAGTTTAAAGGCTTCTGTTCTTGTATATAAAGATTGAATTAGACACTTTCAAAGATTTATATTAAACCACACAGCAAAGTAAAAGCACTATAAAAGTTTCGTACTTGCATTTTCTTTCGATTTTCTGCTGCAACAGTAATCGCATTGCATGCACGAATTCGCCTAATTGCTTCAACAATTTGGTCATCGGGACGATTCTCCAACAATGAAGATAACTCTTCCAAGCTTTTTGGAGCTTCAATTACATAGGGAAGGTCCCCTTGCTGAATTGAAGGCTGTTTACCATTTACTTTTGCAATCTCAGAATCTAAGGAACCTCTATGTCTTTCCTTAATCACTGATTCATTTTTATTGCCTTTTCGCTGGACCTCTTCATCAACACCATCATCATCTTCATCTTCCAAATCTGTACTAAGATCATCATCATCACTCTGTTCCCAGCCCTTTAACGATTCGATCTCTTCACACTTGTCATTGTCTTCTTCACTTCCTTCTTCATCACCAGTATCTTCAGCACTTTCTGAATCCTCAGAAGATTCTTCACTCTCATGATCCTCGGATTTTTTCCTTCTGAGAGTCTCCCAAGTCAGTTTAGATTTTGGTTCTTCATCATGAGAGAAGGAGTCACCGAGGTCATCCCCAGAAATAGATCTTAACTTCGGTGCAGATGCAACATCATCTTTGGAAGTATCACCATCTTCATCGCTGGCGTCATCACTAGCAAGCATCCTCTTTCGACGCTCTTCCTGAAATTGTGGATCAGTATATAAGTTAAGAACTTAATGAACTTAATGATGTTGTATTAACATTTATGTTTCTTATAATTCTAACACTCCTAACTTTGTGGTAAAACCAGGATTCCTATTTTTCAGAGTATTTACAACAACCCAACTCGATTTTTCTTCAAACAGCACATAAATAATGAGGGGTAGATTAAATTGAAACTTAAAAATATCTTCAGCCATAAATGTTTAGATTCGATCACATTACGAGGTAAAAATAAAATATTATATAGCTAAGGCTAAAGATATATAAACCAGCACTATTGATAGGTTTTACTTAGCATATACATGAAAATGTGTTAAATCGACTGCATCAAGCGGCAGTCATCAATCCAAACAAACAGCTTCTGAAGCTTCCTACTTTTTACATCATGAGGGAACCATTGAAGGTGAACCAACTACAATGCTCCATGGCTCGCACTCATATTACAACTTCATGCATCCAAAATATCTTAATCAAGATAGTATGACAACCAACAAACTTACACAACTAATATAAGAATAATAAGGGTGACTATGACAACAATAATGATAACGAAAATAGTCGAGGATGAGAGAATGGCAATGAAGAACACATGTTGAGTCTGTCAAATTAACAAAAGATATTCAGATAGACCCAGAAAGAAATTATTCCTGTGACCAATACAACGTGGTTGGTATTAATGAATAATGATTCAATGAGTTGAGTCAAATAAAATAGCAATAAAAGTACTACTATTGCATTTATAATAGAAATATAAGTGCAGAAAATTATATTTATGTCAACCCCAATGGGCCATTAGTCCAATGGTATAACCTCACCTCCCTTTTGAGGGAGGTGAGGGGTTCAAGCCCTGTAGTGGGCAATTTGTGAAATGTGTGTTTGAGTACTTACCTAACGGGGAAGAAAAAAATATATATTTATTTCTGCATCAAAATATACCTCCAATAGCTCTAGTCGCTCTTTCTCCTCTTGAGCAATTTCCTCAGGTGTCTTTGTCCTGTCTGATGGGCGAGCACGCATATCCAGTACCATCTCATTGACAAGTTTGTCATAAAAATCAGGTTTATCCTGCCACAATGGATTGAATTATAATCTTAGCCTATTCAAACACAGAGAGTCGGAGACAACTAAAACTATAACCAACCATAGGATGTATACAGTAGCATCACATATACTCCATTTGATATAATAAAGTAGCATCACATATACTCCATTTGATAAAATAAAGTCGCATCACACATATACTCCATTTGATATAACAAAGTCACATCACATATCATAAATGGAAAATTGAATCAGTAATCACATTAATTGAATAGGGTGACAAGGGGAATTAAATCTTTCCCAGGTTTAGAAAACTTTTGCATACTGCATGGCAAGGTAAAGAAGATTAGTATAACTTTAAACCTCTAACAGCTTACGAGAGGACACCAGTAAAATTGGCCATTTTACAAATGATAATACCAAATCTGATAGTAAAAATTTAAAGAAATATTTTATGGGAGGAAAACTAGGTAAACATATACCAGCTGAAGAGAATCTATGTTCCCAGGAGCAGAGCCCTCATTTTTCTTCAGATACTCATTTGAAATGCTTTTGTTCACAAGAGCCTTCAAAGCATTCATTTTATTTGGTTGGGTCAAAGATAACAACGCCTCAGACTGCACTAAAGATGAGAAATCTTTGTCCAGTTGGTCAACCAACTGTTCATTTTCTTCCTTATCCTTTGCTTTTTGAGCCTGGTAAGATATGTGGAGGAAGAAAAAATATAGAAAGAAAAAAGGGAAGGAAACAAAAACAAATAAATTAGTAGCCCATTCATAGAGACTCACACCAATTCCTGAAGGATAATAATAATAAATAAATAAAACAATTATCACCTTGAAGAATTTACTCTTGGAAATAATCTCGTCCATTACTTCCTTTTTAGTCTTCTGCCTCTGCAGTGAAAAAGTAATTACACTGAAACAGGTGAAAAGAGTTTCTAATCTCCTACAGAAAATAACAAATTACAAGTTTCTTTGGTGGCTATTTGAAGACACGAGTCTGATCACTTCTAACATGAATGCATGATGTTCCTCCCAACACAATAAAAATAAATTAAATAAATAATCAGTAAATAACTGATTCCTAGAGTTAAGAAAATGATCATATTAAAGAACCCTAAGACTCGAACTATGGTTATGTGACAAGTGGCATGAATGTACATAAATTGTTGCTCATCCAGTGAAGCAGCAAAAATAAATGGCAAGATGAATTATAAAGTTTTTACTTGCAGTTGGAAAAACAAATAGAACAAAAACATGAATGCTTAAAGAAATAATTATCACCTAGTCTGAATGCTTTTAACACCAGTAGAAAGATCATACTTCTTCTCTTGCAAGATAAAGTGGAATATATGAACAAGCATTCACAAAAATATTAGAAAATAATTTTAATAGAAATAATGAAACAAATGTAATTTACATGGTATGATAATGTTAATTTGATTCTGAGCAAAATGGAGTGCACGCACGAGCATATTGCTAATTTGATTCCGTGTAAAAAGGAGTGGACAGGCAATGCACGTGCTCCTTTCCTCATGGTATTCTTTTCTCATATAAATTCAAGTATGCCCACTTTTCTTTTCAGTTCCTTTTGTCAAGCTAAACTTTTTTCTTACATTGGCACATTGCCAAATTGCAAGTCTTTTAGTTAGAAATTGTTGGACAAAAAAAACGAAAATGTTTTTAGATAATGCAGGTTGTTGACTTAATAAAATAGAATTGATAATTACCAAATATTAGACTGTATGGATAATTCCTCAAATAACTTAAAATGGCAGATGAAGAAAGGTTTTGAACGAGGTTTGAGTTCTGCACAACAAATAAAATAGCAGCATAATTTGAACGAGGTTTGAGTTCTGCACAACAAATAAAATAGCAGCATAACAACTAAAGCAGCAAAAAATAGGTAGTGGTTAATGAAAGAAGCATCAAGTAATATCCTCATGCACGGAATTTTCTACCCCGAGTAACCATTTAAATTTTGAATTTAATTTCTGAAATCAATTTAGTGACAGCTTCCCACAAAATCAACAAAGGGGTCTTTAGCTGGAATAAAATAGAGCCCAAAAAAATTTTGCCTGCAAATTCGAATGGATATGTAAGATCAATGCATGGAGCTCAAACAAGGAAATTTCTGAATTTGTTGACGTTATTTTATTTTATTTTATTTTTGTCATAGCAAGAAACTCACACACACCACTTTATTTCTTTGGAGACTCGAACCCTCACCATCCACTTTGGGATGGTAGAAGAGATACCACTAGGCCACAAGGCCCTTGGTAATTTGTTGACAAAGGAATCTTTATAAGAAAATATGACAATAACTAAATTTGAATCTTCTCCAAGAACCTCATTATGGGCTGTTGGGAGAATATCATGAGTGATTTTAGCCTGTGATAGAATATTGATAGTGATTTCCATCGTATTATTGTGTTTTAAATGAGGGATAAAAGAACAGGGGAGTAAGTAGATCCAACATAAGTTCACAGAACCGGATCCTGCTATGAATGAAAACAAAATGAGATGAAATGTCATCTAGAAAAAATTGACAAAGTCATATGAGATTATGACGCACGAAAACTTAAAAACAAAATAATAATAATAAAATAAAAAATAAAAAATAAAAAATAAAAAAGAGAACTGATCTCACATTTTTATCAGCATCAATCAATTCCATATCTGATGCAGTCTGTGCATCATGGGCATTAAGTTGTTTTAAAACTGCTGAACCTGCTATGCAGAAAAATGGAAGGCACAGTCAACATCCAAAGAAAACAAAATGACATAATGAGTTTGTAGAAGTATTATCAAACCATAAAACAGAGACCAAATTAGTGAAACTCAACATCATTTACATAACCAGGAAAGCATACATACTCCTATCATCAGCAGCTTCAGCATCATCATCGTCATGAAGGGGTACTTCATCCTCAAAATCATCCCTTTCAGGAAAGGAACCAAGACCTCCAAGCTCAAATTCATCTTCCTCCCCATCAGATAAATTATACTTGCTTTTCTTGCTCACTTTCAACTATGAAAATTGAATACCCAAAAACATCATTAGTAAGGGAAAAAACACAAAATGCATACAAAAAGTCAACTTAACCCTGCATATGGTATGAGAAAACAAATAATAATTCTTATTGTTTTACAAATTTAAACACTTATATTATGCCCCAATAAAGTTTTTTTTTTTTTTGGCTTTCTACACCAGTCCTATGCATCAAAATTGCAATACAGAAATTTTGGTTCATCCCCAAATTGATTACTTTCACCCCCAAAAAAATCAATTTTGGTATAAAAAATTACCCGATATTCACGTTGGGACCTTAATATGGCCTTATCAAACTCGCCAAGCTCATCATTTTGCTCGCCAATTCGATTATCGACAAACACAGAAGACTTCCCACTTTGTTCATACTCCTTCAATAACGTCTTCTTCCTCTGTAATTCAAGTCAATATAAGCAACTCAAATTCCATATACATATATACACGTATATACGTAGATATAAACACGCAAATATATATATATATATATCAAATTGGAAAACCAAGGAAAAAAAAAAAAGGATTTTTAACCTTTTGGATGGCGAGAGAGCGAGCTAGGCCGATGCGCTTTTCTTCGCCCTTGCGCTTCTTGCCCAGAATGTCGAATTTTCGTCGGGACCAAATGGTTTCGAAAGGGTTTTCTTGTGGGGCTTTCGATTTCATGAACATGCCCTTTGGACCGGTCTTGTTCTTCTTCTTGCTCTTCTTCTTGTTTCCATTATCAGTGCTTTTCTTCGCCATGGGACTAGCTAGTGATTAAGAAGACCCACCTTGAGATAAATATATGTATATGTAGAGAGAGAAAGAGGAGAGAAGGTTTTGCTCCTGCGTTGGTTTGGTGAAGTTCGTGGAGAGAGAAATTTAGGGTTTTAACTACCGTTAGGGTTTAGTTTTGCAGGGGTGGGTTTAGTGTTAACTGCAGAGTGGGAAGAAAATATGCAGAGAAAACAAATAGATCGAAAAATAGTGAAAAAAAAGATATGGCCCAGTGCAATTTTAGTCTAGGGTTTTGCTTGCCGCTTAGCCTTGTTTTGATTGACTTGGGCCAATGTGTCCATTGCAATAAGAAGTCTAGGGTTAGGCCTGATTTAGCCAGTCTTGCCCAAGCCCACTTGTATTTACACGTTATAAATTATAATACAATTGTTTTGTAATAAATATATGTGTGTATATATATATAATACAATTGTTTTGTAATAAATATATGTGTGTATATATATATAATACAATTGTTTTGTAATAAATATATGTGTGTATATATATATATAGAGAGAGAGAGAAAGAGAGTAAGATATAATAAATATATGTGTATATATATATATATATATATAGAAAGAGAGTAAGATTTCGTGAGAGCTTCTAGAGAGGAAGCGAAAATAGTTTTTATTAAAACTTGTTCAAGTATACCCACAAGCAGTAGATATATACATGGCCTTTTTATAGGCTAAAAATGAGGCTTCTCATGTAAGCCACAATGGTGGCCTTGTTCCACACGCAAAAAGTGTCCTCATGGATGACATAATTCATTGTGGACGCCACACAATTATATATTTATATAACATTCCCCTTGGGGTCCACAATACTACACTAAGAATATGGTTCGTTAAAACCTTGCTAAGAAAAATCCAATGGGACAAAACCCTAGCGAAGGAAAAAGAGCACAGTATTCTTGTGTATCTGAAAATGGTATCGCATAGATTAAAACTGCCTTATTAAAACCTTGCCAGAAAATTCAGTGGGATAAAACCTGAACGAAGGAAAAACAGTACAGTATGCCAATACTTCTTCAATCAATTGTTCCCTCTCATTGTTGCATTTGTTCAACCCTGAAGATCCTTTAGTTGACGTATTCCAATGTTGTGCACCAGTTTCTTGAATGTTGCAGTTGGAAGCGTTTTTGTAAATGGATATGTTAGATTTTCACATGAACGTATCTTTTGAATATCAATATCACCCTTTTTTCTGGAGTCATGTGCATAAAAGATTTCTAGTGAGATGTACTTGGTCATATCACTTTTAATATACCTTTCTTTCATCTGTGCAATGCATGCCGCATTATCTTCATATAATACTGTTGGGCTATCTTTTATTGATGAAAGACCATATGTTGTTTAAATATGTTGGATCATTGACCTCAACCAAAAGCATTCCCTGCTAGCCTCATGAATTGCGAGTATCTCAGAATGATTTGAAGAAGTTGCAATCATTGTCTGTTTCATAGATCGCCATAATATAACAGTGCCGCCACTTGTAAACACATATCCTGTTTGTGAATAAGCTTTATGTGGGTCAGAAAGATAGCCAGCATCTGCATATCCAATTAATTGAGAATTTGATATTTTTGAATAAAACAATCCCATATCAGTTGTGCCACGAAGATATCGTAATATGTGTTTGATTCCATTCCAATGTTTGCGGGTTGGTGCAGAACTGTATCTTACTAATAAATTGACTGGAAAAATCATGTCAGGTCTTGTGCAATGTGCAAGATACAAAAGAGCACTAATCGCACTAAGATAGGGCACTTCAGGACCTAAAAGTTATTCATCATCCTCTCGAGGACGAAATAATCTTCTTGATGTCAAGTGATCGAACAACGAACAACTATTGGAGAGTTCAATGGATAGGCTTTATCTATATGAAAACGTTTCAGAATCTTTTCTGTATATGTTGATTGATGGATGAGAATACTGCTCGAAAAATGTTTAATCTGTAGCTCAAGGCAGAATTTTGTCTTTCCGAGATCTTTTATTTCAAATTATTTCTTTAAATAAGTGGTTGTCTTTTTGATCTCGTCCAATGTTCTCACAAGATTCAGATCATCAACATATACTGCAACAATAACAAAACCAGATTCTGATTTGTTAATAAAAATGCATGGACAAATATGATTGTTCACATACCCTTCTTTGAGTAAGTAATCGCCTTAGCGATTGTACCACATTCGTCCAGATTGCTTCAAATATAAGGATCATTGTAATTTTATCATGTACACATTACGTGGTTTTGTTTCAGGCATTTTAAATCATTCTGGGATTTTTATATAAATATCACTATCTAGTGATCCATATAAATATGTTGTAACCACGTCCATTAGATGCATATGCAATCTTTCTGTGACTGCCAAATGTATTATGAATCTAAAAGTAGGTGCATCTATCACAGGGGAGTATGTTCCTCATAATCAATACCAGGTCTCTGTGAGAAACACTGAGCTACCAGTCGGGCTTTGTATCTTAAGATTTCATTTTTCTCATTACACTTTCGTACAAACACCCATTTGTACCCTATAGAATTAACACCCTCAGGTGTCTGGACTACTGGTCTAAATACTTTACGTTTAGCTAATGAATTTAGTTATGCTTGTATTGCTTCTTTCCATTTTGGCCAATCATTTCTTCGTCGATATTCTTCGACGTTTTGAGGTTCTAGATCTTCATTATCAATATCAAGAGTAACAACATATGAGAATATGTTGTTAACAACAATTTCATTTCTATTCCATCTTGTTTCATAAGCATGTTTTAGGTGCATTTGCTGCATTATTGACAGAAAGTCCCACAGGAAAACAATTCGTATTGGAATATTTGCAGCTGGTATATGTGATTTTATTACTTTCTTTGTATCAGTAAATGCATCAAGTAATTGATTTGCAACATTTTGCAAGTGAATGATCCTCTGAACTTCTCATTCACATTGATTTGTGCGAGGATCAAAATGAGACAATTCCAGGGCATTCCAAGTAATATCACGTTGTTGTTGTGCTTTTTCTTCCCCTAATGGTAGGAAAACAGTCTCATCAAAATAACAATCAGTAAATCATACTTTAAAGACATCACTTGTCAGGGGTTCAAGATATCTAATAATAGATGGAGAATCAAAACCAACATAAATTCCAAGTCTACGTTGAGGACCCATTTTAGTGCGTTAGGGTGGTGCAATTGGAACATATACAGTACAACCAAAAATTCGTATATGAGAGATATTTGGTTATTGACCAAAAACAAGTTACAATGGTGAATACTTATGATAAGCAGTTGGTCGTATACGAACTAATGATACAGCACGTAATATGGCATGACCTCAGGCAGAAACAGGTAATTTTGTTCGCATAAGCAAATGACGACCAATTAACTGAAGTCTTTTAATAAAAGATTCAGCCATACCATTTTGAGTATAAGTGTGTGTAACAGGCCAGGTGTTCAACATCAATTCCAACTGACATGCAATAATCATCAAAAGCTTGGGAAGAAAATTTAACGATATTATCAAGACGGATTGTCTTAATTGGGTAATCAGGAAAGTGTGCCCGTAATTTGATGATTTGAGTAAGAAGTTTAGCAAATGCAATATTACGAGTAGAAAGTAGACAAACATGTGACCATCGTGTTGAGGCATCAATTAAGACCTTAAAATAGCGAAATGGTCCACAAGGTGGATGAATTGGCCTACATATATCCTCGTGAATTCGTTGTAAAAATGGGGGAGATTCAACAATGACTTTTGAAAGGGATGGTCTGATAATCAACTTACCTTGTGAGTAAGCGGTGCATAGATGATTATTTGGTAAGATGATTTTTTGATCCTTTAGTGGGTGTTTATGTGAATTTTCAATAATTCGACGCATCATTGTACTCCCCAGGTGACCAAATCGATCATGCCAAAGTATAAAAAATTTTGGGTCACACGATTTTTTATATATCACAATATTTGACTCAATTGTCCTAATGGTTGTATAGTATAACCCGGAAGAGAAAACAAATAGTTTTTCTAATATCAGCTTTTTGCATGAGTGAATGGAAGTAATGTAGAGATATTCCACATTTCTTTCATTTACGGTCTCAATATGATACCTATTACAACGCAAGTCTTTAAAACTCAACAGATTTCTCCGAGATCTTGTAGAATATAAGGCATTATTAATTTGTAATCTTGTTCCATGTGGTAAAATGATGTTGGCTCGTCCGGAGCCTTCAATCAAGTCGGTGGGACTTGATATTATACTAACACTAGTGTCTGTTAGAGTTAGGAGAAAAAAATATTTTTGATCTCGAATGATTGTATGTATTGTTTCACTATCTGCAAGACATATGTCTTCACCATTTATTTTGAAACTAGTCAGATCCATTCCTATTCATGCAAATTTCTTTATCAGAAAAGAAACATTTATAACAAAAAATACTTTAATACAAACTAGAAAATAGAAACTTTAATACAAGGAAAATAAAAACATAATAGATAGAACATGAAAAGAAAATAAGATTAATCGGTGTGGACATTTCCATTACTAATCAGGAAGTCTATCTTTCCATCACGGTCTTCAAAAAAATCTGATACATCCAGATTTATGATGTCAACTGTCTTATCATGATTAATGAAATTTATTTCCAGATTTGTGATGTCAACCGGCTCATCATGATCAATGAAATTTATTTCCTTTTGTTTCCCCTTTTCTTTCATTGAGGCTTGGTAAAGTTCAGCCAGATGCTTAGGTGTACGACAAATGCTTTACCAATGCCCTGTCATGCCACACCGATAACAAGTATTATCATGTACCTTGGGAGGTTGAGCCACATCCTTCCCTTTTACTTGTTTCAATTCATTATAATCTCTCATTTGGGGATATAGTGTGGATCTCTGATTGCGAAAATGTGAGGATTGATATCCTTCACGATAATAAGAATGATTTCTATCACGACCATATTCATTATTGTGGTAGTTATTTTTACCACGACCATATTCATTATTATATCCATTTCTACCACCACGACCACGGGACGAGGCAACATAAGTTTCAGGGATCGGTGTCGATCTAGTTGGACGAGACTGGTGGTTTCTTAACAGAAGCTCGTTATTTTACTCTGCCACAAGTAAACATGATATCAGTTCTGAATATTTTTCAAATCTACGCTCTTGATATTATTGTTGTAAGAGTACATTCGAGGCATGAAATGTGGTGAATGCTTTTTCTAGCAAAAGTTCATCAGTAATGGTATCACTACACAATTTCAATGTAGAGCTGATTTTAAATAGGGCAGAGTTATATTTAGCCACAATTTTAAAATCTTGTAACCGCAGTTACTGTCAATCAGTCAGGGCCTTTGGGAGGATAACTGTTTTTTGATGATCATATATTTCTTTCAAATTTTTTCACAAACACAATGGATCTCTTTTAGTGAGGTATTTAGTTTTTAGCTCCTCACTAATATGGCGCCGAAGGAAAATCATGGCCTTCGCTTTATCTTGTAATGATGCATCATTCTCTTCTTTAATTGTGTTTCCGAGGCCCATGGCATCTAAATGGATCTGAGCATTCAGAATCCAAGATATATAATTTTTGCCAAAAATGTCCAAGACCATGAATTCCAGCTTTGTCTAGTTTTGACATTTTCAGAATAACTAGATGTGACAACAATATAAAAATAGAATTTAGTATAGTATATAAATAAATAAAATGGCATAATATAAATTATTTAAATAACAAAGGTGGTAAAACCAGGCATAGTGAATAAATTATTAAACAATAAAGGCGGTAAAACCGGCCATAAATCATTAAATATATAATAAATGTGGTAAGACCGACCATAATTAGTAGATCATTAAATAATAAGGTGGTAGAACCGACCATAGTGTGAGCACATATATCATTTAAGTGAACAAATTTATTTTATGAATAATAATCCATAATTAAAATTTTCTTACCCTTTGGAGTAAGAAATACTATTTTCTTTGATAAAGCAAACCAACCCAACAATCTATCAAAATTAATATCACAAAATAGATATATAGTTGAGATAGAAAGAGGGAGAGAAAACTTCTCCTTCAAATCTTAAATGGGTAGAGTTCGTGCTGATAACGTATAATAAATACATGTGTATATATATATATAGAGAGAGAGAGAAAGAGGGTAAGATATAATAAATATATGTGTGTGCGTGTGTATATATATATAGAGAGAGAGAAAGAGAGTAAGAATTCGTAAGAGCTTTCAGAGAGGAAGTGAAAATAGCTTTTATTAAAACTTGTTCAAGCATACCCACAAGCAGTAGATACATACATGGCCTTTTTATAGGCTAAAAATGAGGCTTCTCATGTAAGCCACAATGGTGGCCTTGTTCCACACGCAAAAAGTGTCCTCGTGGATGACATAATACATTGTGGACCCCACATAATTATATATATATATATATATATATATATATATATAACATGTTTTACATTTAAGAAAAAAAATAAAAATAAAATAAAAAAATATTGTGATATTTTTTATATATGTAATTGGAGATAAGAGGGAGGACAATGGTAATGGGCCTAGTTGGGCATCCCCAGCCCCGTTTAAAATATCTATCCCCATCTCTACTTCAAAATCGTTTATTAAACGAGGTGGGAGTGGGGACGAATTTTGTAAAGTATTTTTGTAATTATAATACGAATTTAACGAAAGTAAATATAAAACAAATTTTCAACTATGATAATAATTCTTTTTGTTTTATGTAAAGAAAAACAAGATTCAACTTCTCAATTAAAACTTAAGACTAAAATTATTGTTAGAATATCAAAATAATATATACATAAAATTCTCAAATAAGAATAATACAAAAGAATATTTAGTGATTGAAATAAACTAGAAATTGTTTAATATATACCTAATATTATTGAATAAAAAATAAAGTATAAAGACAAAATTATAATTTATCATTATAAATAGAGCGAGGTGGGGTGGTGAACCTTTCTCCATCCCCACCCTATAACCATGCGAATTTTCAATCCTAACCTCCCATTCCCGCCCCAAAACGCTAAGGGTTCAATTTGAATGGATCAATTCAAATTATTTTTTTGTTATGATACGAGTCTTATTTGTGCTAGAATAGCAAATCAGTGCCCCAATGTACCCCAATAACTTTTCATTCGGAAGGAATTGTGACGGGTTGGATTACATGGAACTAGTGAAGATAAGAAATGAGGGAAAAGGGCTAATTAAAAGTTGCAATGACACGTTTGTTTGCCAAAACATTTAGGCGTAGTTTGGAAAGCTAGAATGAAATTGAATGGAATGGAATGGAATGAAGTTGTGAATGGAATGAGAATGAAAATGGCTGGAATGGAATGAAGTTGTGAATGGAATGAGAATGAAAATGGCTGGAATGGAATGATCATTCTCATTCTCTTATTTGGTTGTAATTATGAAATAATGTTGGAATAAATTAATAATCACGATTTTAAGTGGTGGTAGTGGCGGAAAGCAGTGGTGGCGATGGAAGGCGACTGCCGCAGAAGGTGGAGGCGGTGGCGAAAGGTGGTGGTGGTGACAGCGTTAGTGGTGGAAGGCGGTGATGGCGATGGAAGGTGGTGGTAGTGGCGAAATGCGGTGGTGGTGGATGGTGGCGGCGGTGGCAGTGTTTAAGAATTTATGAAAATACTCCCACTAAAATTACAACTCGCCCCCATTGGATTTTATTTTTATTTTTATTTTTTATTTTTTTGCATTTTATACTTCAATTTTTTTAGAATTTATGAAGAAGACCCCGCTAAAATAACAAAAATGGACCCACTATACAAGTTTGTCCTAACAAATTAAAAGGTCACCCCCCTCACAAAATTTTTTGGGTTCGCCATTGGTGACGGCGGTGGAGGAAGGTGGTGGGTGAAGGAGGTGGTGGTCGCTGTGGCAGCCGAAGTTGGTAGCGAAAGGTGGTAGTGGTGGTGGTGACGATGGTGGAGGAAGGAGGTGGTGGAGGCGGTGGCGGCAAAAGGCGATGGTGGTGGCAAAAGGTGGTATGGTGGTTGTGATGGTGGAAGGCGGTGACAGTGGTTAAGGTAGTGATGGTGGATTTTGGTGGCAGCGGTAACCAATAATTTTATTCCTTAAAATGAATTTTCATTTCATTCATTTAGAAATAGAATGAATTTATATTTTTTTAGAAATGATCATTTCCATTCTAAATGGTATATCAAATACGAGAATGTTTTTGAATGGAAGGCCCATTCAATTCTTAGGTACCGAACTAGACCTTAAGAATTCAGCCAATTTAATTGTCCCCTTTATTGTTATTATATATATATATATATTGGGAAGCATTACATTTCCTTTCCTATTATACCAGTATGCTTCTAATCAATGTTTCTGTCCATCCAAACAAGCTGATTAAGAATATAAGACACATCTCTTGGTGGTCCTCACATGATTGTGGGCCCTACTAGATCCGAGTAGCACCATTCACCTAAAATAACTTGACAAGTCAACCTTAAACTTTTATTGAAATATTGAAGATTATTGTCGGTTTGGCCTTAATTTTTTCCCTGGGTTTTTCTGCGTATATTTGGTGTCTTTGTGTGTATGTTTGAATTTATATTTTGAAAGTTATTTTTGTTAGCCTTTTGCAAAACTAAAGGGTGATAAATAAATAAAAAATTAATAAACAAAAAGGCCTTTTGCAAAATTTTATTAGCTATAAGCATATATGTAAATTTTAGAGGAGTCTTTGGTACAATTTTATAATCTATATGCATTATATGTAAATTTTAGGGAGACATTTGTAAAATTGATAAGCTATATATATAAATATTAAAAATAATAATAATGGGCCAGCTTGGGCTCACGGGTAGCTCCGGTAGGCCCACGCTATCTCCGTACTGATTATATACAGTGCAAACTCGTTTGGAATTGCTTCTCTATAATTAAAACGTGGTTTAATGATCATGTAACAAGAGAAGGTCAGAGGTCTCTCTTATTGAGCAATTGCAGCATCTAAAACATCCTCCAGGTGAAGGAGGGCAAAGGGACCCGGTCTTTTTCTCAGCCATAATTAGCTAATGGACTTAATCATGTCACAAACTCCACTTTTTCATTCATACCCAAAAATCCATTTTCACATGTCATTATGATCTTTATAGTTTATACAACAATACCATATAATAATCACATTTTATATATGTAGCAAAGACTAATTAAAAACTCTCCATGATCATAAAATTATAACAAAAACCACCCAAATTAATTAAGTTGTATTAATTCAAGCTAAAAGCCAGAAATCTTTTTGACGCTTGGTGGTGATCAAATACCCACCTAGCTTCTTGCTCTTCCTCCTCACTGCAATTGCCATGCAATTTGCATTTTGGATGCAGTACTCCACCACCCCACCGCCCACTCGATACCCTGCCCACATCATCAGAAGCCGCCACGTCGTGGACCGCTTCTTCTGCCCTAGAACCAGTAGAGCCACCCCTTGCTTCTTTGCCTCTTCCACTATTGCCGGACCTTTCTCTTTCCCTCCTGCCACTGCAACCTCAATTTTCACCTGTTGTGTGTGAAAAAAAACTCATTCAATTGGACTAATTTTCATCTACTAGAGGGAATAGTTGTCACTAGGCCTTTCTGTATTAATCAACAAGATCCTTGGAGAGAAAAAAAGTACAAACCAGTAATTAAGGGTTTGTTTGGTTTAATTTTCTAAAAATAGTTTTCAATAACTCAGAAAGCATAAGGATGTTTTAAAAAATCTATAAAAGACAATTGTCAACATTTTTTTTTTAACTGAGCTTTCAGAAAACAGTTTTAAAAAACTGTCAGCCTTGATTTTCAATTTTCATATATATCTTTATGACAATTATGTATATATATGGGAAGATCATTAAGTTAAAATAAATTTTACCCACCTCAGGTCTCTTCAGTTGACACAGATTCTTCATAGATTGGAGAAATTCAGAAACTCTTGGAGCTATCTCCTCCTTACAAGACTCATCACCTGTAAAGCGAAGTATGAGGTACTTTTTATCTATATATATCAATGCAATTAGAGGGAATATATATATATATATATATATATATATATATATATGTGAAAAGGACCAACCTTGCTTGGAAGGCTTGGTTACATGTAGAAGAATTACAATGTCTTGGCTCTGAACAGTGTGAGTTAATGCCCACTGTAGAGCTCCCTTGGCTTCAAGGCTCGAATCCATCACCACCATGATCTTCCTGCCAAGCACCACCCCTGCTTTCACCACATCACCGGAATTCGCCTCTCCAACGTCACCAGAATTCTCATTTTTCTGATCGGTTTTGAAGGAATTTCTCTCGTGTTTATTAGATTGAATAGCCGGTGAATGAAATCGAACATGAGGCCTAATCCTGTTTAAGCAAAAACTTGGCATTTTTGAGGCACCTTTAGACCAACCTCTGGAGATGGGTCCTAATTCCTAGCTAACTACTAAATGAGGCCAGAGCTTTAATAATGAGAAGAAGAAGAAGAAGAAAGAAGAAAAAGAGAAGGAAAAAACAATAGTTAGTAGACAAGGTCCAAATCATAACTAATCTGGGCCATGGTTAATTTATTTTGCTCTCTTTGCTTTCTCTTTTCCTTTCTTTTGCCATTTAATCATTTAGGTTCTGTGTGTTCTTTTTATACTTTGATGTGGGGCTATGAAGACCAGAACGTGCTTGTCATAAAACTGTAGGACCATCCCTCATAGATTAGCTGTTATGTCCCTGGAACTTTAGCATGTCTGAGTAAAATAATGGGAAGCATTTCCTAGCTTTTTATATTTATTTTTTCTCGGAGTTCAAGCAAACACACGTTCACTATATATATATATATATATATATGCCTCCATGGAGGTTTAACCTCCTCATTTGAAGCAGAGAGCTTATACCATCTGGCCGGGCTGGTGTCCATTGGCTATGTTTCAATAATTAACAGGTTTATATTGTAATTTTTGATTTGTGACCATGCAACTTCATTATTGATGGGCATTAGTCCAGGATCTCTCTCATTAGCTTATGAAAAATATTGTAGGTGTGCACGCATTTGTTTGAATTTTCTGAAAATAATAATAATAATAATAATATCCACTTCGCAATTATCTTGGAGTGCCGTCAGAATAAGGAACAAGTTAATAAGAAAAACAGTCTTGCGCCATTCAGGAAAAAAAAAAAAAAAAACAACAGTCTTGCGCAACTTTAGTTGTTCTTGATTGGATGTTGAACCTACCATATTTGATAATTAGCTAGTAATAATGGGCACAAATGTAAGGAAAAAAAAAAAAACTCCGCAGGGTAAGAAAAAAGAAGAAGATATCCGTTGGTCGATTTTGAAAGGACAATTATTTTTAAACAGACTTGTCTAACCAACTTAGATGAATGAGCCATTCGACTTCGCAATTAATTTAGAAAATAGAGTGATTATTCCGACTTGAAAAATGTTTAAAGTCTTAAATCTTAACTCCAAATTTGACACAGGACCTCAACATCAGATTTCGAATTTCGGACTCCTTATCATTTCCCGTCCAATAAGTACTCTTTTTCTTTTCAAAAACTCGAAGGATGTACTTAAGTAAAATAATAAACTGACCCACACAATTAATGTAAGTTATTACTGATTTAATAGTTTGAGCTGCTAAACGTTGAACAATAATAGCTCAAATATAGAATTTGGGTTACATACCTTAGTTATTGTTGATATAGTAGACAAAAAAAAGGGCAAATAATAGTTCAAAGCTTATATGTTTTTTTCAGGTAGACTCTGCAAGTCATAATGTAAACTACAGAAAAAGAAGAAAATATCCATCTATTTTAAAAGGAAAATGATTTTTAAACATATTTGTTCAACTGGCTTTAAAGGAGGCTGTTTCATCGTTGTCCAATACATTAAAGTGGGGTGCGACTCTATGAAAGTACGTTATTTCAATTTGAGAAATGTCTTACTATGCTAACTCCGAATTTGAAGCAATGCCTCTCTTCTTGATTTTACTCAATTTTGGATTTTGTATCAATGCTTTTTGTATCGAGAAATTATTAGATGGTCATCGACCATTAATACTTGATAGATTAATTAAAAACATACTCTCAGATTGAGAAAAAAATTTCTCAAAAATTTATTAATATATTAACGGAAGGCTATCATAGAATTAATCCACCAAATATCAAATAGACCAAAACTATTTCAGAATTTCTCCTTAGTATCCTTCTTTTGAAAATATGGAGGGATGTACTTAATTGCAAGAAGATGACTATTAAACTGAGCCACACCATTAATGCAAGTTATTACTGATTTAATACTTTGACCAACTAAACTTTGACAAATAACTAGAACTCAAATATAGAATGGTCACATGAACATGGATCCCTCTCTCATGTCATTGTATCCTTTGGTGTCACGTGTGTCCTTATATCGCTTATGCAATAATTATATTGTTATTTTTACACTATAATATATAGTATATGTCTTGCACCAGCAATCTATATGAACCACAGGACCAAGATACTGAATCCCCTCCTTAAGTGGGGATCCGGATTCACGGTCCCGTTGGTATGATAGAGATAACAAAGCAAATAACAGTTAAAATTAAGTTCATAATTTTCCAGGAAGGGTCTGCTCGATCTTTACATACAGCTCATATGTAAAACTAGAGAGAGCACTACAATAAAATCCCAGATTCACAAAAGCAACCAGATATAGATCACTTACCTTAGGAGAAGTAATATATTGTCACAATAGAGAGATTTAAAATAAGAGGATTTAAATTAGGGGCTATATCTTATTGATCTCCTAACTTAACTATATGTATGCCCCTATTCACTCTATCAATAATTAAAATTTTAAAACTAGGAATGCAGAATTATTTCTCTGTCATTCATGCCTCGAGAAGTTGTCACAATTGGTGTCCATCCCACGTCTTCAAGTCGGATCAGAAGTTTCCTAAATAGTGTAGTGGATGGATCGGTTGAAGAGTCAATTCGAGTTCATTCCTCATTTCTGGCTCTTCTCCTCGATAAATGCCACTGCATCACAAAATAGATATTACAAGTAGTCGTAGATTCATGGTGAGCCTAGCACAATGGCCTCCATGACTGTAACCAGAGTTAGCTTGGTTCAAGTTGAAGTCTAAAACAAAAACTTAAAAGAAGACCGTTTTGATATTTATCATAATGATCATATAAATATATATAATGGTGAACCTAGCTTCCATGTGAGCCTTAAGTGACCACCCTCAATAGCCTTAAGGTGGAGTTGGCCCTTACATTAAAATGCAAATCCGTCGTTTACCGGTTGGTCCATGTTTTACACTTCTATTTCTATAAAAGGGCTAGTTCAGAGCACGAGACTTTCATCATTACAGGGTCATGCAAACTTAATGACCTACGCATACAAAGAGGTGATATCTTATCTCAAACTAGTGACCTTCAGGTCACGATGGAGCACGCAACCTTACCATCCGCCTTGTTAATTCTAAGAAAAATTTAATTTTCTTTTCTCCGGTTTCCTTCCCTTTTAACTTTCATTCTCTGAGGGACATGATCTGCTGGTTAAAATTTGGTCTTCCATAACTCTACTCTTTTAAGCATAAGCATAAGAAAATTTAACTTTGTTGGCATTAAATTAAATAAGAATTATTTTACATTGAATGACACACATGAGAGATAATTACCCAATCCCTAAGTAGGGAAGTGGCTCTGGCAATAGTAATGAAGATGAATTAGGACCATGGTTTGGCTGTTGCCACTGTGCCAGCTGAGCTATAGTCTTCTCCTTCTCCTTGATGATCTATAAGCATATTACAAATTAAGCTGTACTGAACCACAATTAATTTTGAAGAGAGTAACATACCAATTATAATTCTCAAAAAAAAAAAGAAAAAAGAAAAAAAATTCTATTATGTATGTGCGCGCGCTAAATAAAGCAGGAGATTAATTTTTACTTTGTAATTTTCTTTAAGTTTATATATTGGAAGAGTAGGCAAAAAATGGAAGTAGTTTAGAAATTTGCATTATTATTTAAAATGAAGATATATATGTGTGGCTCACTTCTTAGCTATAATGGTATTTTGCTCCTTTATTGCCTTCTCCTGTCACAGAGAATCATAATGAGAGATGAGATATATGAACAAATGCGAGTGCTGTGCATCTCATTTCATCAATTTTCTTACACTTCTGAGGATAAATAATTATGCGGAAATATAGGACTTGGAATCATTTGAAGATCACAGAAAGTAGGATTTCTAGACGTTTTTTTATTTAATTTTTTTTTATCACCCAGGAAATAAAAAGACAATAAGAATGCTTTTCATTATGATGCATTTTGAGCTTAAAAGTTTGAATAAAGAAATTTCCACTAGAACAGAAAGGAGCTGCATTACTCAATTAAACAAAACTAACTAAAAGACACTTACAATTATCCACAATGAGATTTTATATTTTGAAAACATTGTATTCATTATCGATCAATTCTACTGAATATGTCATTTTCAATATATACAATCAAAATATCACTCAGATTTCTCACCTGGTTATGCGATCAATTACTTACCATATTCATAGTGAAAAACAACATAATAGCACTCATAACTGGTGGAATCAAATGATAACATCACAAGCAAATAAACCAATGAATGCACCTTGTTTTGTTTTGTTTCAATCCTTATTTATTTATTTTTTTTTTTGTGCAAGATCACCACTCTATTTCAATCCTTCAAACTCTACTTAGAGCACACATCAAAAAATATAAGTCTTAATTAGTTTATCATCAAGTTTCATGAGTGTTATTGGAGAAAATTCATTTAGATAAAAGTCAGTGGGAGCAAGTATTTATTGGAGGGCGCCTTTAAACTCCATTAGGGGCATTACTAGGATTTTAGCAAAAATTTAGGTATCTAATACAAAGTAATTATTCTAACTAAAAATTCATGTTTGAAGTCAATCTTGTGTTATTGCACCAAAAATAATTCCTTAACTCATTATAATGTGACAACAAAATATTTAGAAAAAAAAATATATGGCAACAAAATTAATTTTAATTGGGTAACAGTTAAGGCGGTCCAAGAATATATTTTCTCTTCTACATCTAGCCTCAACACCACCAAGCCCTCCGGATTTAGCTCCAAGCAGAGCGAGCTTAAAATATTGAGAAATGGACGTTGATATAGCGGTTACAACGGCTAATTTGTAATCAAACTTCTGATAGAAGTTATAGGTTAATCTAGCTAAATATTTTTCATATTTATACATTTGCTTAAAGTTCAAATAGTAGTATTAATAATAATAATAAAAATAATAATTTGCATTATTTTCTTTTGTTTTATTGTTGCAATTCCTATAAAATTTTGATCACTTTGGTTTTAGGTTTCTAAAACTAATCCAACATATCCTAAGATTGGAATTAGCATCGTTTCACGTCTCCAAGTAAATAGACATTATACTTATATAGGGCATTCATACTCTTCCTCATGTGAAGTTTGATAACCCTCCATTTTTGTTGATAGTCTTGTTGTTTGTTTGTCTTTTATTGCACATTCCTTCTTAATGACTAAGAATTAGTTTCAAAAATTTTATATCTAACTATATAGTAGACATGTAACATCTCTACATAATTCTCAACTCTTCTAGATCATTTTTCTAAACTACAAATTTTTATAGGTTCTCTAATGTTGGATCATTCTATCACTCTACAACACTTCACAATTCTCTATAAAATCCATTTATCAGTCTAATTGCACAGTGATGAATATTTCAACACAAATGTATAAAAGTTATTTATGAAGAGACATGACATTTTGTAATTGTACACAACATTCCAAGCGTTAAATCGTCTTTCCGTTATAATGTTTGCTTTTTAGGACAGATCAAAATAATTTTAAAAATTATAAAAGGTGTCCTTATAATTAGGTCAAACTTCAAGGTAGGTTTTTGTAATTTATCTTTATGCCTACGGTCGTACCAGTCTTTTGATTTCAAATGTTTTGGGTGGGCCTTCCAACTTAGATTTGGTTAATCGTGTTTGGGCTAAAATAGTGCCCCTTACTTTTGATAGACCAGGCCCATCCTCTTTTGGACATTCTAAATATTGAGACTAACATGTATACAATTTGTTTTAATTTTGGAAAAAAAAAAAAAAAAAAACTTATTAATTTTGAGATTTTGTCTCTAATTTGAGAAATTATTAAATGATTTTGGACCATCTGCTACTTACTAGTCCAATACAATCAAAATTATTGTTTATAAATGGTCCAATCCAATCAAATTGATATGTATAAATATTAATACATTATTATAAATATTAATTTTGATTGAATTGGATCACTAAGTAGCAGATGGTCCATAACCATTTAATAATTTCTCAATCTTCAATAAGTGAGGTTTTTAGAGAAATTATTTATTGTAATCGTTACAATGATGACATGATGCAACAGCCGGATACAAACATTCCACCAAAACAAAGAAGATCTACAATAGAATTAAAAAGTTGAAATACGTGCTTTGATGGAGTGTTTAGAACCGTTCATACACCACGTTATTGTTACAATCATTGTAATAAATAATTTCTTGTGTATGTGAATGGGTCATAACCCGTATGAAAATAAAATTTGGTCCGAATTCTGACCAAGTATCACCACTCATATACTATTGACAGTGGTGGTTATTTTTAGCACAAAACTTTTTGGCCTATAATAAATCTTAAAATTTTAAATTAATTAGAAGACATATCTTATTTAATAAAATTAACTGAAAGGTTTTTATAATACACGGTTATTTTGAAAGTTTAGCACCAAGTAACAAATGCAAAAACACCACACCTTTTTTTGAAGCTCAGAGATAGACTCATACATTAGCTGGCTCTGCAAAAGAACAAATTTCAAAATGTCAATTACTTAAAGCCTACCTCTAAAAAACCAATTAAGTGTGTAATATTAATTCACGAACAAACATAGCATACTTTTCTCGAACGACTGTGTTTAAGAGCAGTGTCAATCTGTTGTTCCAAATTCTGAAGCTCCCTCTTACTTAATGAACCTAGATCTTCTCCCATATAGTGCCTGAAGAAGTTTAAGAAAATTCAAAAATTATTTTAAAGTCGTAATAAAGTGTGAAAAGAAAGAGACACCTACTTAATTCACACACACATACACACTGCACTTCATTCTAAAATATTGTTGACTGATCCAATGATGCTCTATTCACTACTGGAGTAGCTCTACTTGTCCCTCTTAACTGGCTTGCTAGGGTCTCAAATGTCTCTTCTTTTGTACATTTTCACATACTAATCAATATACACTTATCTTTATATTCCTCAAAAAAAGAGAAAAATTAAAATAAAATTAAAATTAAAAAGAAAGAACGTACCGGTGATTTTGCTGTAGAAGCTCAATCTTAGCCTTTAGTTTGGCGAAATCCATGGACCAGTTTTCTGCACAAATCAAATACGACACGAGATAACTATTGAACATGAAATATGGCTACCACGGGAATAATGAAATCAAACCTGTTACAAATTTTGAGCAACCATTCGTTATTTCAATGAAATTGGTGGATTGAGTAGAGGAAATACCAGTGATTTAGGATCATAATCAGTTAACTGTGCTGATGAGAATGAATTGTTGGAATTTATATATATATATTTAAATAATAAAAATTATTTTATGGTCCTATGCATTACGCTTTCTAAAATAGGATTGCAATGTGATTATTGATACTTGATGGATTGGGTTGTACTTTCCAATTTGGTGGTCTAATTTGGAGTATAGTTTTATACCGTTGGATTGTGATTTTTCAACTTATTTGGTGTGATTTAATTCTAACCATTAATATTTAAGTTTCTATGATAGGAAGGAAAATTTAGGTATGCTTGTTTGTAGAGAAGTCGTCCCCCTGTTGTTGTTATATATAAGGGTTTTAAAACCCTTTTTCCCACCTATCGTATCGACAACTCTCAGAAGGGGGTAAAGTGCTCTAATGTTTTGCAGGAACTCACAAAGAATTACATGGATATTATAAAGGTACTATGGTTTAATTATCAATCAGGTACGATATCTAAATTACTTTTTAAAGTATTCTTGATTTTTACATTAATTAATTTAATTAAAATTCAACAATTGGTATCAGAGCCATGATTATATTAGGGTTTTAATTTTGTAGAAATCAAAATTAAAGTAAATATATCATTTAAGTTTATATGTATATAATTTATATTGTCAGATTATTATTTTCGCACTGCGCATATGAGTTTCTACCTTAAACGTGCTGATTAATTCGGATATTGTTACCTGTTGGTGTAGTATATAAATGTAATGAATATATTACATATATAAAGTTAAAACTTATACTTACAAGTCATGCACGGATCACGAAGCTAATGGATTGATTTATAATCAATCATGTTCATGCAATATAACTGAAATAATAAACTGAAATAAGCATAAACTGAAATAGAACAATAAAGGGTTTTCATGGTTTTATTCATCAATCAGCGTCTCCATGCGATCATCCCTTCTTGTCACTTTACCTAAATTCCAGTAAAGCCATAGAGCACATGGGGCCTGATTTGATGACGCATCAGCATTGTCATCATCCAGGTGTTACCAGTTAACAAAATTGCTGCCAAGATAGATTCATGTTGGTTAAATTTAACAATTTAACTGTAGTTTCAATTAATTTTGTATGCAAACATACATGGAAAGTATTGTTTTTTTATTTTTTTTTATACCACATATGGAGACGAACTCACTAGATTACTGATGATGCCTATATTTTGGGTCAGTTTTGTATTCTTTAATTTCTTGCCCACTCAAATAATTTTGTATGCACAATATAGATATATGTATATATACTCGGTTGTATATGTATATATATATAAATAAATTATTTTAAAATAAATAAATACAATGGTGTGTAAGCAATGAGGCTATTGAACATGAGTTTTTTGAATAATACTATATTGTGTACAATTGAGTAGTGAATGCCTTCAATGTCATGGTAAATATGTATGCATTTATACACTAATTTAGAATTTGTTTTGAACTGGTGAAGCTTGTAGATTCACAAATATAAAGTTCATTTACACACATATGATGATTCATTTCATGGTATTTGAGATATCAATTCATAGATTATTTCTCTTATTATTTTGGGTATATATTCAGTATGTGAATATATGGGGCAAGATTGATTGATCTGTGGTGAACTAATTGAACATTTAATTAATATGATATTCAATTCACGTTCTAATACATGTATAGTAAATAGTTTATATCAAAGAATAGTTGAATAAAATTTTCTTTGAAATTTTATCATCAATTAGATTGTTTGCATGACAATATTGTGAACAAGTGGTTTATTCAAGAATAGTGAATAATAAATGGTATAGATTTTTTTAAGATTGTATTACATATACAAGTCAGTTTTAGCTTGAAAATCTATGGGGTTCACATGCCATAAGCAAGCAGTATTAACTTGATTGATTTAAAGAATTGAGTATTTTAAATTGTTTACTGAATATATAATATGCATGCATCAAATATTTATAATTTTTCTTTCAATTAAAGTTTAGAAAGAACTAAGAGATTTTAAATCTTGATTGATGTGCATGTTATTATTATATTACTCATTGTAATTTCTTAAGATGTATGAGGGGGCTTTATTTTATTTGTATTAAAGCCATTTATGTTACGGTGAAATTAAGTGTTCCATAAATTTGGGTTTAGTTTATGTGCATTATAAAGAAATTGTTGAACTTAAATAAATGGAACTTCTACAGTTTAGGTTCTTTCTTGGGGTTTAGGAAGACCGGTAAAGTGACCGTTTCAAATGTGGTAGCCAAAGTGGGTGATGTCTGCCAAAAGGTGACACGCTCACGGAGGTTATTATTTTTTAAAATTTTAAGACATTAGTCTTATTGAGGTCTTACAGTGCACTTACTTACATGAGGGCATTAGTTCTACCAAAAGGTGATCAATGTCTTAGTGTGGAATAAGTGAGTAGAATATTTGAGAGTAATTGAATTATATTTAAATAACCCTCTTGCCAAAAGGTAGTGAAAGTGTTTAGTAATAATTCAAGTATAATCAAATAGGTCTATGTGCGATTTTATTGCAGGTTTGGGGGTAAAGTAAAATCTAAAATTCTGCCAAAAGGTGGTTTTAGATGATATTTTATCTGTTCCCGCAGGGTAGACAGTTTTTGCACATAGTAAAACACATTGAGAAATTCGGCTTAAAACCCCAAGCACGAATTAAAGTAATAATCCCTGAAGCTATGACATATTGTTTTATATGTTGATTATGTAGTGTTATTCAATATAACATTTATTCTGGTTACAGACGCTTCCGCAATTTAAAGATAGCTCATAGGGATTGAACTATTGAATGGTTAAAATTATATTGCCTAGAAGACATGTTTTGATATTATATTGGGTTTCTTAGACCATGGGTCTATGTTTTGAGGAAGAAACCCATATGCTCAATGCGGAGTCTTCTTAGGTGAAATATATATATATATATATATATATATATATATATATATATATATATATATATATATAGTTGTAATTTTAGGTGGACTAAAGTTACTACCATGCCATTAGGTTAATTTATGCTTCTATTGGTGATATTATTCATGGTGGTATTCTAGTTTTGATAATGCCAAAGAGCTTTTTGATTTGGTCAAGAAAGAGTTAATTGGTATTAAGAAGCAATTATAATACTATTATCTGACATGGATTATGTTAGTAAGATATGATGGCAATGGTTCAGTGAGGGAGTACATCTATAAGATGTGCAAGCTGGTTAATGATCTGAGGAAGTAGAGAATCATATTTGTTGATAAGTTATTAGTTTACAAGGTGATCTATTCTCTAATTAAGTTTTTTCAGCTTTTCAAGGTGAATTATAATTCACAAGAAGTTAACTGTGGAATTAACCAGCTGTTAACATTTTGTGTCATTGAAAGGGAGCGACTTAAGGGCGTTAAAACTGAGTCAGCTCATCTTGCCGTGACAGCGAGAATCATTTCAAAAATAAACTAGGCAACAAGAAAGTGTATAAGGCTAAACAAAATAAAGAAAGACAGAACAATACATGAAAAGACATTGATCATGGAATGATAAATGTTGGTTCTGTAGAAATAAAAGGACATCAAAAGAAAAGGTTATTGTGATGAAAAGAAAAACAAAGCATGAAAGAAAATGCCATGTTAATATTTGAGCCAAACTAGGTAAAAAAGTATAGGTATATACATGGTAGATAGATCCGGATGTGATCTTACCTGTTTCTTCTTTTTCTATAGACTCGATACCTTCCGAATAAAATCGTGCTTTGGTTAAAGAGGATTTATCTATGCTATGCATATGATATTGGGGAATGTCTTACCAAAGAGACTTGAACGCTTAGTCAAGGATGAGATTATTGGGTCACAAATTTTATGCGTTGGTTGTGTCAAAGGACAGATGCAGAGAAACGCAATTTTGAGGCTAATCGGTCAATTTGTTTTGTATTATGTTTATATTGACATTTGTGGTCCATTTCTTATTGTAGCTCGTTTGCAGTAAATGTATTTCAATGTCTTCATTGATGGGTTCTCAAGGTATGATTGTGTACTTAATCCACCAGAAGTCTGAAGCACTTGATGTGTGTAAAATCTACTAGACTAAAGTTGAAAGTAGTTGGTATAAAGATTATGGTTTTAAGATTGGACTAAGGTGGTGAGTTTTAATAGGAGAATGGTAGGGAGGGTGTAAATCGTAGTACTTTCAGTACATACTTAAAGAGCAGTGCATTGTGCCACAGTACACCACTCCTAGTTTTCTTGAACAGAATAAAGTTACAGAAAAGAGAAAATGTGGGTATGTCTTATAGAGACAAAGTTATATAATGTAGATATCAAGGAGCTTGATACTCACACTATCAATGATTATTTTATTGGGTATCTTGAAAGATTAAAAGATTCGAGATTTTACTGTCCTGTAGACCTATGGAGATTATTGGAATATGTCATGTATATTTAATGAGAGTGGTGAATCCAGTGGGAGTTTAAGATGTTGTAGTTTTTTTTGCAGAAAAATATTTTCAGCAATTATTCTATTTATTTCAGACTTCATTCCACTTTCTTTAGTGGTTTTAGTTAAAACTCATATTCCCACTCTTTCAGTTATTCCCACTCAATTAGTTATTTCTTCTTTGTAGCATTTTCTTTCATTTTCCAATCTAGTTCCTAAGCTTGTTTAGCTTAGGAGATCTTCTAGAGCTTGGAAGTATGCTGTAGTTGGTGATTTTGATGTGTCTGGTGGATATAAGACAAAAATTGATGGTCAAGTGTTTAAACAAAAGTTAAGTGTTGATTTCTTTAAGTTTTTTCTCCAATTTCATTAAAGGACTCTTTGAGAGTCATTCTTTCATTATCGCTCATTTATGGCTTAAGCAAGTTTTATAGTAGTGGTATTTGAACTTTGATACAGTGGTTATTAATTGTAGGTTCAAAGAGAATGTTATGAATAAATGCATATACCTCAAGTTCAGTGGGAGTCATTTTGGTTTCCTTGTCCTATATGTTGATAATATTTTGCTAGGTAGCAATGACATTCATGTGATACATGATATTGAGAATTTCATGTAAAGTTTTGACATGAAGGACGTGGGGTATGCAGAGTATGTCCTTGGCATTAGATCCATAGGGATCACGCTACTAGCATACTTGGATTTTCTCTAAAGGTTTATATTAATTAAGTATATGGAAAAATTTAAGAGTGACTAAGCGTAGTAAGCCTATTGACATAAAATACATTTTCAAGCGTGAGAAGGTTAAGGTTGAAGTGTCATTAAGGTTTTCCTATATGGTTACAGAAAGATTGTTGCAAATTCTCTTACTAAAGCCTTCAACCGAAAATAATAAAGTATTTAAAGAGCACGTGATTCGGATAGGTGTTCATGAGTCATTATGTTATAATATCTAGTATTTCTTTTGTATATGCTACATTGCAATTAGTTTCTTTACGCCTTGTGGTAACAGTTTTTTTTCCTCCAGTTTACACCTTATGGTGACAGTTATTTGCATCCAAAATAAAGTTATGATGCATAATTATTATTATCTTTATATATATGGTTTATGAACGTGTTATTATGTTTGTCTAGGAGTGGTATTTCACTCATGAGGTTGTTTGGGTTAGATGTGAGATTGACACCACATCGGTAAGTTCAAAATAATTATTAAAGGTTGTCTGAGAGTGATATTTCACTTATACGGTTGTTTGGGCTAGATATGAGATTGACATCATATCGGTAAATCCAAATATAAGATTTGTCTGGGAGTGGTATTTCACTCATGATGTTGTTTGGACTAGATGTGAGATTGACACCACATTGGTAAATCTAAACATAAATATTAAAGTTTGCTTGTGGGAGTATTTCACACTCCACGAGGATAGCTTGGGCTAGATATGGGATTGGCTCCATATCGGTAAACCCTTACACTGAACAGAATGCTAGCGGTTTGCTGTAATATGTTCAGGTGACATACCGCGATGGTATGAAGCAGGACGGATAGTGAGGTGTGCGTTTAGACCACATTCAGTTTGCACATCTCATGAAATACAGTAAAAACCACTATATTTGCTTGAATCCTAGATGGAATCGGTTTTGAGACCATGGAATTGTTTAGACTAATATATTACTTGTCTACGCAATCATGATCCACTATTGAGGAAATTTATGGAGGAGAGTGTTCTAAAGTTTTCAATCCATCAATTTCGATAATTGTGTTTTCTAAATAAAAATGAGTGGCCACTCGACTTTTATAAAGTGTTGTTGCAATCCATAGTGTCATTTTATAAAACTTAGAGTGCATGGACCAAGTGAGAGATTGTTGGAATTTATATATATATATTTAAATAATAAAAATTATTTTATGGTCCTATGCACTACGCTTTCTAAAATAGGATTGCAATGTGATTATTGATACTTGATGGATTGGGTTGTACTTTCCAATTTGTTGGTCTAATTGGGAGTATAGTTTTATACCGTTGGATTGTGATTTTTTAACTTATTTGGTGTGATTTAATTCTAAGCATTAATATCTAAGTTTCCATAATAGAAAGGGAAACTTAGGTATGCTTGTTTGTAGAGAAGCCGTCCCCCCCTGTTATTGTTATATATAAGGGTTTTAAAACCCTTATTCCGACCTATCGTATCGACAACTCTCAGAAGGGGGTAAAACACTCTAATGTTTTGCAGGAACTCACAGAGGATTACATGGATATTTAAAAGGTACTATGGTTTAATTATCAATCAAGTACGATATCTAAATTACTCTTTAAAGTATTCTTGATTTTTACATCAATTAATTTAATTAAAACCCAACATGAATGTCTTTCATATCGCTCAAGGATCTTCTCCATGCTGTTGCCAAAAAATGATGAAGATAATGATTTATTTACAAATGATTTTCCTTTTCTTACTAAATTAACCTTCAAGAAACCAAATCAAGAACTAGGTAATATATGCAAAAAATGCCCACTTTTCAAATTTTAAAAGATATTCAAGATATGTACAACTTACTCAAAATAATAATAATAAGAAAATAAATTATTTGAGTTTAGAAGAATTAATGTTAAAATTACTTATAATTTGAGGCATGCAAGGTATTTTAATTTGTTTGGAATGCAAGTCATTAACTTGCTGGGCATTAGCGCAAATACTATGATCTCGACGTTAGCTCTGAGAGTTGAGTGTTTGAACTTTGGAGCAATATTGTGAATGTGTGTATATTTTAGTAGTTCTTGAACTTTGAAAAAAAAAAAAAAAAAAAACTTGTTTTAAGAATCTTGAATAATCGAGGTACCACAGGCGTATTGGTAGAAGTGTTACAGGCTTCTGAACCTGGCCATGAATTGGAACGTCACAAGACTTGAAGTTGAAATGGATGTCAAGGGCTTTAGTTGAGAATATATAACAATAGGAATCATATTAGCCAAGTTTTTAAGCCGTCCATTCTGAACTTCTGAGGTTGCTGAGAGTACAGTTTGAACACACCTTTTGAGAACCATCTGGTTTGTGTGTGCTCTTTTAAGTAGGTGGATATATATAACCTAATTTTGAATTTTACTATAGGGTAGATTTACCCTATTAACAGTTATATACAAGTTAGTTTTTTTTTTGAATAATTAATGACACCCTCTATTTTGTTTTTGCACATAAAAATGCTATAAAATGTCTAAATTACCCTAATTTTTGTAAAGCTTTTAATAAAAGAATAATAGTTAAACTAAAAGACCATTTTGCCACTAATATTTAAGAGGAAAAGAATGGTGTTATCTAATTTTAAGGTGATTATATATTTGATATATATATATATATATATATATATATATATACACATTGCAAATTCAAGCATTGTTGCTATAATATTTATGTTAATATTAGTTAAATAATATGTGAGGCAAATAATACCATTTTAATAAGTACAAGTATCGTAGATATTGTATGTATGTATGCATATATATATCCTTGAATAAGCATCTTATCAATAATTTTTTTTATAAAATTTAATAAATAATGGTTGCATAATCACTAGTACATAAACTACTATTTTCCTATTCTTTCTAATTAATATATAATTTTTGCTAATGTCATGTGTTTATCATGCTACGAATTAGAATAATAAATCGATCACATTATTTGACGATAAAATGCTAATGAGGTTGGAATCCAATAACATGTTGGGAATAAATAGAAAACTTATAGTAAGAAATTTAAAGCATATTTGCCTTTTTCAGTTAAGACTTAGTAAAAATTGGAAGGAACTAAGTTCAATCCTTTTAATTATGTCAAATTACTAAAGTTATACTTGTCTCTCACAATTACTATTATAGAGAGAGATGGAGATTAAAGTAAATGGGTTTATTCATATCATTAAAGATTTTTATCCTTATATATATATATATATAGTTTGTTTGATGAAGAATGAAAGCAAATAATAGTGAGAGTTAGTTTGATCTAATAAAATAACTTGTAAATGTTAAAAAGATAATTCCACGTTTCAATAGGTTAATTAAGAAGTCAAAAGCTAATAATGTTAATTTAAAGTGGCATGAGACAATTAGCTAGGGTGTCTTTGATGACTTTATTGATAGGGTGTCATTAATATTGTTATAAAAAATGGATATCTTGTATAATAATATAATGTCAATTCAAAGTGGCATGAGACAATTAGCTAGGGTGTCTTTGATGACTTTATTGATGGGGTGTCAATAATATTGTTATAAAAAATGGGTATCTTGTATAATAATACTATCACCTCTATCTTAAAAAGAATGTCTCTCTTGAAAAACGGTGACACACTGTGAGTCTGAGTTACAGTCAAAAAAGATATTTATTTTAGGATAAATGAAATAATAATAGTTGTGGTACAAGGTAGTCATTATCTAGAGGGTAATTTACACAAACATTTCCTATGGTTTGTCATGTTGGAAATTAAACTTTATTTTATTTTTGTCTTTGAAGGTCATGGGTGTTTTTTTTATTTGGTGTTTTATATTTATGTGAGTTTTTTATTGGAGTTAGTGGGGGGCATGAGAGTTACAACTAGTAAATGGTCATGTTAGTGGGTTAGTGGGAGTTTTACCTACTAAATGATATGTTAGTGGGGTGTTAATTTTCATTTTCATTTATGTTTTGAAGCCTATATAAACCTATGCATTGTACTCATTTTCAATCAAGTGAAATAAAAAGTGTTCTTCCTCCATTTTTATTCTTTTCCAAATAGTATAGAGTTGTGTGTGAAACTAGGCCACTATTTCCAATAAAGTGGTATCAGAGCTAGTTTGTGAGAGAGAGAAGAAATGGCAAACAATTCGGTTCCATTTCAAATGCCTCGATTCACCAAAGATAACTATGAAAATTGGTGTATCCGTATGAAGGCAATTTTGGGAGCACAAGATGTGTGGGAAGTTGTTTCCAAAGGTTATGATGAGCCAGAAGATGAGGCAACTTTGTCTCAAGCCGAAAAAGATGTTTTACAAGCCATGAGAAAGAAGGACCAAAAGGCGGTGATGACCATCCATCAATGTTTGGATGATGGAATGCTACAAAGAGTTGCTAGTGCAGAAAATGCAAAGCAACTATGGGAGATTCTTCAAAACTCCTTCTAAGGAGTTGATAAAGTGAAGAAGGTTCGCCTCCAAACGTTGCGAGGTGAATTTGAAGCATTGCATATGAAGGAATCTGAATCAATTTCAGATTATTTTTCGAGGGTCCTGGCTATTGTAAATCAACTAAGAAGATATGGCGAAACCACCATGACTGATACAAGGGTCGTTAAAAAGATCCTTTGGTCGTTGGATTCCAAATTCAACTACATTGTTATAGCCATTGAATAGTCAAAGGATTTGGATTTCATGACTGTTGATCAACTCATGGGTTCGTTGCAAGCTCATGAAGAAAAGGTGGTGAAGAAACAAGAAGCTTTGGAGCAAGTGCTACAAACAAAGTTTTCGTTGAACGAAAAAGACGAAAAACATGGAGGAAATCAAAGGTGCCGAGGACGTGGAAATGCACGTGGCCGAGGAAGAGGAAGAGGCCGTGGAAGAGGAGAAAGAAGCGGTCAACACACAACCAGCAATGAAGAAAAAGTCCATGACTCACAACAACTAAGAGGTCGTGGTAGAGGAAATTACTTAAGGTCATATAGAATGAGGTATGATAAGTCTCAAATTCAATGTTATAAATGTCAAAAATATGGTCATTATGCTTCGGAATGTAGAAATGTTGCTAACGATGTTGAAGAAAAGGCTAATTATGTTAATGAAGAAGTGGAGCTTACTTTGTTGTTGGCATACAAAGGTGAAAGGAGTGAAAAAGATGTGTGGTATCTTGACACCGGTGCAAGCAACCATATGTATGGTAGCAAAGAGAAATTCGTTGATATTGATGAATCAATAAATGGTAAGGTGACATTTGGAGACTTATCACAAATTCCAGTAAGAGGGAAAAGTAAAATATTGATTCGTTTGAGGAATGGGCATCATCAGTTTATCTCTAATGTTTATTATGTGCCTAATATGAAGAACAATATTTTGAGTTTGGGACAACTCTTAAAAAAAGGCTACAATATTTCCATGAAGAAATTGTAGTCTTTCGTTAAGAGACCCATTGGGTAATTTGATTGCCAAGGTTCCAATGACAAAGAACCGGATGTTTTTGCTAAATATTCAAGCCGACGAGGCTAAATGTTTGAAGGCTTGTTTTAATGATTTAACTTGGCTTTGGCACTTGAGACTTGGGCACTTGAATTTTGGAGGATTAGAGTTGTTGGCCAAAAAGAAGATGGTGAAGGGATTGTCTTTCATTAGTAATCCAAATCAATTATGTGAAGGATGTCTCGTTGAAAAGCAATTAAGGAAAAGTTTTCCTATAGAAGCCACCACAAGAGCTACGGCGCCACTACAACTTATCCATTCGGATGTTTGTGGTCCAATTTCTCCATCATCATTTGGTAAGAATAATTATTTTTTATTATTCATTGATGATTTTAGCCGAAAAACATGGGTGTATTTTCTTAAACAAAAATCGGAGGTGTATGGAATTTTTAAGAAATTTGAAGCACTTGTTAAAAAACAAAGTGACTATGATGTAAAGGCACTTCGATCCGATAGAGGTGGTGAATTCACATCAAATAATTTCAAAAAATTTTGTGAAGAAAATGGAATTCACCATCCTTTAACGGTTCCGAGATCGCCCCAACAAAATGGAGTTGCAGAAAGGAAGAACAGAACCATTCTCAATATGGCTCGAAGCATGTTGAAAAACAAGGAAATGCTTAAAGAATTTTGGGCTGAAGCGGTTGATTATGCGGCGTACTTGTCCAACCGGTCTCCTACTAGAAGTGTGCAAAACAAAACACCACAAGAAACATGGAGCGGAAGAAAGCCAAGTATCTCTCATTTGCGGGTTTTTGGGAGCATTGCCTATGTGCACGTGCCGGATGAAAGGAGGACCAAGTTAGACAACAAAAGTGAAAAAATGGTGTTCATTGGCTATGATGCAAATTCCAAAGGTTACAAGTTGTACAATCCAAACAATGAGAAGATTGTCATTAGTAGAGATGTTGAATTCGAAGAGGGAGCCACATGGGATTGGAACACTTTAAATGAAGATTATAATATTTTTCCAATTTCTGATGAGGAGAAAGAAAATGAAAACATGGAGCAGCCCATTTCTCCACCAACATCACATCCACCACCATCAATTCAAGATCAATCAACTCCATCATCATCAAGTTCAAGTAACACATCACCACTTCGCATGAGGTGTCTTCGTGACATATATGACGAAACAGATGAGGTAACGAAAATGTTAGGTGATCTAACACTTTTTTGTCTCTTTGCGGATTGTGAACCCGTAGGATTTGAAGAGGCGGCACAAGACAAAAAACGGAGAAATGCTATGGATGAAGAAATTAAATCCATAGAGAAGAATGACACATGGGAGCTTGCTACACTTCCAAAAGAGCAAAAGGCAATTGGTGTCAAATGGGTGTATAAAGCAAAGAAGAATGCAAATGGTGAAGTTGAAAAATATAAAGCAAGATTGGTCGCCAAGGGGTACAACCAAAAGCCCGGGATTGACTATGATGAGGTATTTGCACCCGTAGCTCGTTTGGAAACAATTAGATTGTTAATTTCTTTGGCAACCCAGAACAATTGGAGAATCCACCAAATGGATGTGAAATCGGCTTTCTTGAATGGGTTTCTTGAAGAAAAAGTGTATGTTCAACAACCCATGGGCTATGTTGTAAAGGGGCAAGAAAACAGAGTCTTGAAATTGAAGAAGGCTTTATATGGCTTGAAGCAAGCACCAAGGGCGTGAAATAAGCGAATTGACAAATATTTTCAAGACAATAATTTTTCAAAGTGCCCATATGAACATGCTCTTTACTCCAAAGTAAGTGAGAATAGAGATGTATTTTTTGTTTGCTTGTATGTGGATGATTTAATCTTCACAAGTAGCAATCCAAAAATGTTTGAAGATTTCAAGAAGGTTATGGCTCGAGAGTTCGAGATGACAGATATTGGCATCATGGCTGCTTATTATCTTGGCATTGAGGTCAAACAAATGAAGGATGGAATTTTCATTCACCAAGAAGGCTATGCTAAGGAAATTCTCAAGAAATTCAAGATGGAAGATTGTAAATTGGTGAACACGCCCATGGAAGTTGGAATTAAATTGTCAAGAGATGAAGATGGAGAGACGGTGGATCCAACATTTTTCAAAAGTTTTATTGGAAGCTTGAGATACTTAACATGCACAAGGCCGGACATATTATTTGCGGTTGGGCTTGTTAGTCGGTTTATGGAAAGACCCACCATAACTCATTTCGAGGCAGCTAAGAGGATTCTTCGTTACATCAAAGGTACCCTTAATTTTGGGTTGTTCCATTCATTTACTAATGATTTCAAGCTTGTGGGTTATTCTGATAGTGATTGGGCCGGAGATTTGGATGATAGAAAAAGTACTTCTAGCTATTGTTTTTTCATGGGAAATGTTGCTTTTACATGGTGTTCAAAGAAGCAACCCATTGTCACCCTCTCAACTTGTGAAGCTATAATATGTTGCAGTCACCTCATGTATTTGTCAAGCAATTTGGTTGAGGAATTTATTGAAGGAATTACACATGCTACAAGAAGTGTCAACGGAGATTTTTGTGGACAACAAATCAGCAATTGCTTTGGCCAAGAATCCGGTGTTTCATGAACGAAGCAAACATATTGATACAAGATTTCATTTCATTAGAGAATGCATAACCAAGAAGGAGGTGGAGCTCAAGTTCATCAAGTCACAAGATCAAGTTGCGTATATTTTCACCAAGCCCCTCAAGTTTGCAGATTTTCACAAGTTAAGGAGTTTGCTTGGAGTTGAAAAAAAATCAAGTTTAAGGGGAGTGTTAGAAATTAAACTTTATTTTATTTTTGTCTTTGAAGGTCATGGGTGTTTTTTTTTATTTGGTGTTTTATATTTATGTGAGTTTTTTATTGGAGTTAGTGGGGGGCATGAGAGTTACAACTAGTAAATGGACATGTTAGTGGGTTAGTGGGAGTTTTGTCTACTAAATGATATGTTAGTGGGGTGTTAATTTTCATTTTCATTTATATTTTGAAGCTTATATAAACTCATGCATTGTACTCATTTTCAATCAAGTGAAATAAAAAGTATTCCTCCTCCATTTTTATTCTCTTCCAAACAGTATAGAGTTGTGTGTGTAACTAGACCACTATTTCCAACAATAATTAGGACTTCTCCTTTGGTATGAGAATTTATTCAAACCTCCCCTAATAATGAAAGTATCTTACACGGACTTCTCTTTTGTTAGAATCGACGTCAGTCAAGAATCGACTATGCTGACGTCATGCATAAAATTCATTAAAATTTCATATTACCCTTGTCCCAGCCAATTGACATTTTTTATGGATATTCCTTTCTCTCTCCTCTATCTGCTCATAAGAATTTGAAAACAACAGAATGAGCTTAAAATTGCAGCAAATATGAATATGACAATTGTTGTGGAAAGAGCAAGAAACTGTCATGCCTTGGGATAACCCAACAATCCCAAACAAAACCCTAATCCTCCACAACTCATTAATGGACAACACGATCCCTCCTGCACCCAACGACACCCTATAATTACTCCTCTACGACGCCTCAATCTGCAACCCGAACCCTTCCCTGTACCTGAAAAATGCATGGCAATATAAATATTGATAACTTTTCTCTCTCTTCTTTTCTTTTCCCCTTCTTTTCCTTTATTCTTTATTACTGCCCAGGTTGCTAACAAAGAACACTATTAAATAGCTAACTCAAGATGCCATTACTAATAATTGGGCTCTACAAAAAAAGAAAATATTATGACCAAAAATCATCAACAAAACTCCAGGCCATTAAGTCAAGCACAATCAATAAAAACAATTAAAAACGCCAACCAACTTTCAGTAATTTGTTCGACAATTGAAAGCTACTTGTGAAGATAGATTTGTGGTGCAACGATGTCGACGGCGGCGACTGTAAGCATAGTAGAGGGGAATCAGCAGCGACTAACCGGCGAGGTCGTCGGACCATGCAGTGGTTAAGATCGTCATCCCTTCTCTGTCTGTTGGGTCGCTAACCGAAATGTCTCTATGTTTGCTGAAATTAGATCTCACCGGAGAAGTTGTTGCGAGAAATGCGTGCGTGAGAGGTGTCGCCGTTGCCGGCGACGATTGTGAGCAAAGCAGAGGGAACCGACGAGGTCACTGGACCATGCAGTGGTCGGTGGCCTAAGATCGCCATCCCTTCTCTGTCCATTGGGTCGCGAAGGTCTATGTTTGGTGAAATTGGATGTCGCAGAAATCAACAATTGCGATAAGAACCCATGATTTCATAAGAATTGGCCATGCTAGAAAATCAAATGATCCACACAGCTCTGGATTAAATGTGATAATTTCATAAGAATTGGCTGAGATTGAAGGAGGCTAAGACCAGTACCAGTGCAGGGTATGGATTTCAGATATATATATACACACATATATAATTCTATGGGTAATTTAGTCATTTACAATAGTAATTTGAGAGTATTTCAGTAAATTAGACAAGTTATGTTAGTCCTTTTTGACCGTCCGTCATTAAGAGGGAGATCTGTGTAGGATAGTTTCATTTTTAAGAGAGGTCTGAGTAAATAACCAAACTACAAAGAAAGTTCCTGTATTATGACAAACTATAGAGGAGATTTGTGTAAATTACCCTTATCAAGAGGTCAACAAACAAATACTTGCAGTACAATTCCTTAAGACATCTATAGACCATGGATCAAAAAAGTTGCACAAATACACACATTCTTGAAATTTGCACAATTTTCAGGACAAGGTAACTTAAACACCCAGTGCTACATTGGTACCTAATTAAGATCAGAGATCTAAACAATCCGGATTTTCTGATGAACTATTTTGGTTTGGAATATATTGGATCAACCTTAAAAGGTCTGTGTGGGGGGGAAGAAAATAGAAGGTTTGAACTTAAAAAGAAAAAGAAAGCCTTGGATCATAAAATATTTAAAACTTCAAAGTAGCTATATACTTATATAATTTTGATTTTAAAAATAAAATAATCCAAAATATCAAGAAAATTAGATTTTAAAATGGGGGGAGATTTCTCAAATGTGCAACTTATATAACATAAATTCAGAGCATATATGATCTCAAAAGTGACACATCTAATAAGTTATGAACCTATCTAGAGAAATGATAAAAATAAATAATTAAGGAAACCCTAGTATGAAGATGTATCATGTACCCAATAACTCAAAGTACTTGTCATTACAAGATTAATGTGTGTGTGGGGCACATACACACACACATACACACACACATATGACATTATCTTTAGAAAAAAAGAGAGAAATCTGACCAAGAATCTGTGGAGTACTCAAAGATCTTCCCTTTGTAGGAGAATACAATCACAGCCACCTCTGCATCACACAACACTGAGATCTCATGAGCTTTCTTCAACAACCCAACCTTCCTTTTTGAGAAAGTGACTTGTCTGTTGATCTTATTCTCAATGCGTTTCATCTGCACTCTTCCTCTCCCCATTTCTCACACTCTCTCTCTTTTTTTTTTTTCAGAAACCAAACAACGGCCAGTTAATTATTTCCAAGATAGGAGTATATAAAAACCCTCAAACTATACATATATATTCTTCTAAATTTCTAATGATCTAGAAAGTACATAGCAAGATTTAATTTTTTCAGAGAAATAATGGGATTCGTGGTTGTTTCCACCTGGTGAAATTTGGTTAGAGAACATGTTTAATTGTCTGAAAAAGCATACACACTTGAACAAATATTGAATTTGAAAACACAAACAGTTTGTAGCTGGTGGTTTTGGAGATTTAAGGTTTGGATGGTGTAGTAAAACCAGGTGGTTTTTAGAATGCGTTGTTCAGTTTCTATTCGTTAGAGCCAATGTGGGTTTATGGATGTACACAGGTTTCTATGCGAACTCCGTAGATATAGGAATGCGTCTTGCGTACGAAAAAGTTACTGTGCTCTGATTCTTGGACCGGACTCTTGTGCAGGGTATCATTTCACATAGCAATGAAGTTCAATTACTTGGATGCCCCTACTGTTTGAAAAAAGCAAGAGTTAATTCTACTTACCTCCCATGAGATTTGTCAATACCTTACATAGGACCCTTTCATGTTTCATAATTTTCAGATTCTCCCCTGCTGCTAAGCACCTGACAGATTTTGCTGATGTCAGTAGAAAAAAATCAAGAGAATGTCTGAAATGACATCTTTATCCTCATTGACCAATATACAATTACTTATGTACCATACTGACGTACCTCTCACATCATCAAACCCCAAAACAAAATCACATCCATTTCACTACCACCGCCACCGCCACTCTACCACAATATATGGCGGCTATTTGATTACATTTATTAACTGGTTTCACAACCCTGAGCTAACAAATTTTAGCTAACGATGGGCATTACTTTACTCTTCTCAAAGGTCCACTTCATTATATAAATCAAGCAACCTAGTTGAGATATATGCCTATATTTGTCTCTCTTTTTCTTTTCCCATCCATTTTCCTGGAAAACGGCAAAGAGAAGAAAATGTAGTAATATTCCCTTTAATAGCACAAGGCCACATGATACCCTTCTTGGCCTTAACCTTCCAAATAGAGCAAAGATTTGACTACAAAATAACCTTCATTAACACCCCTTTCAACATCAAGAAACTCCAATTTTCTCTCCCTCCAAACACCTCCCTTTGCCTCCTTGAGATCCCCTTTAACAGCTCCGACCACGGCCTCCCTCCGGAAAAAACTGACATTCTACCTTACACTAACATCATTACCCTCTTCGAAGCCTCATTTTTTCTCAAACCCACCTTCAGAAAACTCCTTTGTTTTGGTTTGCTAAAGATCGTGTTGTAGATACCCAATTCATGCATGACGTCAGCGGTCCAGTTGAGGCAGATATGGGCAACCACTGCCCTACACTATGGGTCAAGGAGCTGCCGTCCTCTACCGTTGGTGTCAAGTACACCTTCAGTTGCTGGGTTGCTCAATTTATTTATATGTATACAAAGGACTTGGATCCTCTAAGTTAAAACTCCTCTAAGTTATTATAAGTTGAATTTTCTATAGAATGACACGTGTCATTTAAGATATATCTATGGCTTATGTTAAATCACTTCAGCTAATTTAATATAAGTTAGGAACTGCATCGTTTTAAGATAGAAAAGCTTTAGAATACCTTAACAACGTTAACTCTCGCTTGGTAACTCTAATTATTTTCTGATAGGCTTGATATATGATATGCTTAAGAGTTATTGATTGCAGAATCAATATTACATAGTTGACAGCTACACTTTATTGAATGCCTTTCTATTCAACCATTTATACTTCAGTTTAAATCTGAATCTGAATCTGCATAAAAATGCATCTAGTTATTACCAACCAAAGATTTAGTAGTTTTAAATAATGAAGAATGTCATCTCTTTTCTGTTGATATAGTGGCAAACTATGCTCAAAACTTAAATTTCACAAAATTCATCTAAGCAGACACTGTATACTATTAAATTGAAAACCTACTATTCAAGTTTCTTTAATCAAATCACCTTCTTCATCCAAGCCAATACTATTATTTCAGAAAAGAGAGAGAGGGTGAATTTTTTTTTTTTTTGGGAAAAGAGGAGAGATCTTATAAGAGAGAGAGAGAGCGACGTTCGCGTCTTTGTAAAGCTTTTTACCTTAAAACGGTGTAGTTTTCTAAATTTTATTAAATTAACTGAAGTGGTTTAACATAGGTCGTAGATATATTTTAATGACACATGTCATTTCTTAAAGAATTCAACTTATGATAACTTAGATGAATTTTAACTTAGATGATCTAAGTCCGTATACAAATATGTGTAATGTATATGTGTGTCTGTATAGAGAGAGAAATAGAGAGTAGCAAAAATTGGGCAACATCACGCAGCATAACTAGGGTGTTTTTGTCTTTCCGTTTAAGCTTCAAATTTTTATGAATATCAATATATAATTCACGGACAAAACGATAAAATCACACACTATATATAGTTACCAAATTGGACGGCCATCATTGACAGAGGCAAATGAAATAATGAAATAAGAAAGGGATCTATGGGAGATATTGACCAACTTCAAGAAAATCAAATGAAATTAACCCAAAAAGTAATCCACAAACATAGTGTAAAAGATAAATGGTAATATAAATATTCTCAAATAATTTGTCCATTAGAATGTCCCAAATTTGTTATCACATTTGAAAATTTAAACCAAAATAATTCTATCTTTGTGTCATTACTTTTAAGTTTTCAAAGATCTTTCCAATGGTAATATACATATTTATATTTAAAAGAATAAGTTGATAATTTTAAAAGGGGATAATGCATTAATTGTATGTCCCTTTAAAAACTTTTCATATCAAAGATGGATAACTAATATTAAACCTATAATGTATTTGCCAATATTCTTCATTTTTTTCTAATTAAATACCGAAGTGAGAATGTTGGGCAAAGTGCTCGCTGTTAAAAAAAATAAAAAATGAAATAAAAATTTCATGAAACTGAAACGAAGTTGTCAGGGAGGTGGTGATAGAAGTGACTAGAAAAGTTAAATTTATAAATTAAAGTGCCAATAGAGAGATTAGAATAGTATTTATTAGTAGTAAAATAAGAGAAAATAAACTTAAGTAGTATGAACATATATAACATAGAAGGAAAGATTAATTGGCATGAAAGGTAAGAGACAACGTAAAGGACCAAAACAGATCAAAACTAATATGAAATAAAATAATTAAAAATAATTTCAAAACATTATATAATAGAGGAGACATAACATATATTAATATAATTGAATGAAAAAGAGAATTTGTTATGTTGAATCCAGTTTCTTAAAGAAAAATGCAAGATGACGACGACGACGACGACGACTGAGAATGAATTTGCTCCACCGACATCTCCTGTGAACCTTAAATCTGTGGTGAACATTAATTTTTATTCTCAATATTTTAATATATATAAAATATTATTGAATCACAAAAGAAAAATTTAATGGTTTTTCATTCCCCGTCTCTCTGTTTTTCTCTCCCTCACTGTGGGTGGTATCATACCGATCCTATAATATCCTATAATATATATCAATTCGAATATGACTTCTTTAATAATTATGTCAGGAACCTTTGACATGAAGATAATTTGTTTTTTAAACGGGTAATACAACAAGACTCATTTAATAGATGGGTCATGTAACACACTATATATAGCACAACCAATTTAATAACTTATTTATCATATTTACATTAAATTAAATGTGTCATGTAAGCCAGTTATCAACTTAAGTATATAATACAAATATAATATAAATGACATAATGGATGACTAAATTCATGAAAACAAGAATATTTGGGACACTATAATTAAAGTAAAAAAACACAAATACAATATCTGCATTGAATTTATATTGAAATAACAAAAAAAAAAAAAATCATGGTAATTAGTTAAAACATGTTACGGTTAATCAAGTTTAATTAACATGATTATAACACGACTAATTAAATGAGTCCAATAAGGTGAAACGGGTTGAGCTCCAAAACATGACACTCGTTACACATGATTTTTTTTTTATAATGAAATTCAAATCGATTCGAAACATTTTCCCTTCTTAAAAGATTTCGTGCCATTGCTCGTACTACATTTTCTTATTCAGTAAAAACCATTAATAGAACTAACAATGGGATAGAATTTCTAATGCAAGATTCTTTATCAAAATACTGCATTCTTCATGAGGAGTTTCAGCTCCAAAGCTAATAAAAGAAAAGTGATGTCCAATACTGATTCAAATGGTCTACAACTGAATGGGGAAGATATGCAGCTTGAATTTCTTAACCACTTCAAATCCATACTTGGCCAAAGCTATTAGTAGTACATAGTTTTGGTTTTCCTGCAACATTTGTGAATTGGATTTCGCAGTGTATTACTACACCAGCGTACTTTATTTCCCTTAATGGTGAATTATTTGGCTTCTTTAACGATAAGAGAGGGATTAGACAGGGGGATCCTATCTCTCCATTGCTGTTTGTGCTTGCAATGGAAGTCCTTACCCTCACAATTAATCACAAAGTCAGGTCTAACCCCTATTTTAAGTTCCATTGGAGGTGCAAGAAGCTGTCTATTACGCACCTCATTTTTGCTGATGACATTCTGATTTTCTCTTATGCTAACCTTGATTCTGTCCAAACCATTTTGGAAGCTTTCAAGTTATTTTGCTCATTCTCTGGCCTGCAAATGAATCCCTCAAAATGCAAAGCATATTTCTCCAATGTTGATTCTCAGTCCAAAGCCAGCATTCTTGCACTTTTGCAATTTGATGTAGGGTCTCTTCCAACCACATACTTAGGCTTATCACTATCTGCCACAGCAATTAATGCAAGGGACTGTTAATCAATGGTTGAAAGAATAACTAGAAGAGTTGGGAGTTGGACTTCCAAGTTCTTATCTTATACTGGGAGAGCTGTCCTCATTAAGTCTGTGCTGGTTGCAATCCAATCTTCTGGTCTCAAGTTTTTTCTCTTCCTAAGAAGGTGTTGGATGATATCAACCATATCCTTAGGAGCTTCTACTGGTCTGGAACTGATTTGAAAAAGAGTGGAGCAAAGGTTGCCTGGGCTGCAGTGTGTAGGCCTAAAATGCATGGGGGGTTTGGGGTTTCCAGACCTTGAAATGTCAAATAGAGTTGCAATGTTGAAGCATATTTGGAA